TGGAATTACTAAATTACAAAAAAGTAATTCAATTAAGATAAAATAGTTAACCTGACGAAAAGAACACTTTATAGGATAGTTATGAAATAAGAGATCCTTTTGCTTTTTTTTGTGATAGCTTTGTTTTACATTACAATCAGTGTTTCTTCCAGGCATTTCTTGGGGGGGGGGGGGGGGGGGGGACGGGACACAGCCCCCCGAAGAAAGACTAACCCCCCGAACGAAATGGAATTTATATGGAAAACATATACTTTTATCAATGCCCCCCCCCCCCCCCCACGGAGAAAAAAGTCTAGAATATTTAAACCAAAGCATATAGCCTATATATAGCTTAAAATTAGCATATATATATATATATATATATATATATATATATATTATATATATATATATATATATATATACATACATGTACAATAATTTTTTTATTATTTTAACATGACTATTTGAATAATCTTTGTATTCTATTTTTAGGTCCTTATGTAATTACTGTAAAATTAAGACCATATTAAGATTAGCAGAAAACAAAAAAAAACGTGAACATTTAAACTAATTGTTATCATCAGCCAACTACAAACCACCCTGCATACTTGTTGGATACCAGATCCATTTTTTTTTCTCGTCAGATGCGACTATTTTTTAAAGCGTATTTACGCCGCAAGTTAATCGGCAGACGCCGTAACGCTCCGCCGTGCCGGGACACCAAGATGGATGCTGATAGCTGGCAAATTTGACGGGGACCGTGGGTCAGGCATGTACTCTCCCCCCCCCCCCCCCCGGGCGGTGACGGTGGGGCGACCCACGGGTTAACCGTGAGTACTGGGAGGTTGGTCAGACGGGTTTATTGGTGGTTCACGGGTCAGCGCGTACGTGTACGTGAGGAGGTGGGGGGTAGGAATGAGACTTGGAGTGAAGGATGTGTTGGTGAAGCATGGAGAATGGGGGATAGAGGGGTGGCAGTTAGGATGGTCATGGAACTGGGAGCTGACCTGTCACAGAGGAAATTAAAAGTCCTGGAAGCGGAGGATGGTATGGAGGTACGCATACGTACTCGCGTAGTGCTCGTACGGTACTAGTCAGGTACCCGCACTCACACGATACGATCCAGTACTACATCAGAACTTGTCCAGTACTACAACAGTACGTGTCCAGTACTCACACAATACGATCCAGTACTACAACAGTACTTGTCCAGTACTCACACAATACGATCCAGTACTACAACAGTACTTGTCCAGTACTCACACAACACGATCAGTACTCCAACAGTACTTGTCAGTACTCACACAACACGATCCAGTACTACAACAGTACTTGTCCAGTACTCACACAACACGATCCAGTACTACAACAGTACTTGTCCAGTACTCACACAACACGATCCAGTACTACAACAGTACTTGTCCAGTACTCACACAACACGATCCAGTACTACAACAGTACTTGTCCAGTACTCACACAACACGATCCAGTACTACAACAGTACTTGTCCAGTACTCACACAATACGATCCAGTACTACAACAGTACTTGTCCAGTACTCACACAACACGATCCAGTACTACAACAGTACTTGTCCAGTACTCACACAACACGATCCAGTACTACAACAGTACTTGTCCAGTACTCACACAACACGATCCAGTACTACAACAGTACTTGTCCGGTACTCACATGTTACTTGTCCAAAATTCCAACAGTATTTGCTCAGCTACTGTAGTGAAGATATTAACCAAAAAAAGTCGGAGGATGCGAAGTGCGGACAGCACCTGCTGTGGCTATCTAATGAGGTAACACCAAATTTTACAATAGCCAACTTTACGGACAAACTATTCAGTGTGCAATTGTGTTAATGATAAAATAGTCCACCATTCAACATTAGTCCTTATTTACCGCCATTGGATATCATTCGACCTAGTGGTGCCACTATGAATAGTTACCTAGTAATTATAAAGTAACAAAACCCCACTTTTGACCCAGTATTTAATCGTTACGTACTGAGTACTCATTCTGTACTTGTTAACACTCACTCGAACGTTAGTATCTGATGATTTGAATTAGAATAATGCTGCAGATAAAATCATACAAGTTCGCTAATTACTCTAATCTTCCACACACGCGTAAATTCCCGTCGTGACAAAAACTTTGACATTCCAGGAAAAAGAAACGCCTTGTCATGTTTTTCGTTATTTTATTGTTAGAGAATACAAAAGACAGATTACCTGCTCCAAAAAAAAAGGAAATTTATTGTATGATACATGGCATACCAAAAGACTAAGGAATCTTTCGCAGAACTGTAATTTTCTGATATCCTACACAATCTACCGTTCTGTTATATATATATATATATATATATAATATATATATATATATATATATATATATATATATATATATATTGCATTATATGTTAGCCCTATATATATATATATTTATTAATATATATGTATACATATATATATATATTCATACATGTATATATACATATATATATAATATATATAACATACACGCAACTCCTCCCTTATGTCTTGTCACCAATGTACACCAAAAAACCCCGTCAAATATCATCTACTGGTGTGAGTGATGTCGACTTGGCCCCCAAACGAACTAATGGAGATCCAGAACAATGCAGCGAGGAATCTGTCAGACACAATGCCACCGTTTTATTCAGTTATTCCTGCCGCGCTCGGTGCCAGGCATAGGCAGGTGAGTTCCTGCAAGTGCTCCTGTCACGTGGTACACGTAAGTATCTCACAATAGACGGGAGGGTTGGGTGGGGTGATATTTTATCGTGTGATTAGCCACGCTGACGAAAATATTGGGGGTAGCCTATGATAGTAATTGAATGCAGGTTCATTATCGCGGTTGGTGTGGAGAGTATATACGTGGCTCTTGTCATCTGATACAGCAGATAATATCACAGATGTCATTGTGATGACATGCTCATGTCATGAATAGGCCATTTGTTATGTAGAAATTAAGTACATAGTCATAACAATTTCAGTCATTGTGACAGTGTATGTCCCTGTTACGGCCATTGAAATATTAAACCTAGGGTTGTGCTCCCTTCAAATGTAGTGGACAGTGACTGAGTTACCAAGTGTATTGTCAGACATGAGAACTTTATTTTTAGTATTCCCTTGGATGTTGCAGCAAGATATGGTCATATAAAAGGTACTTTAATTCCTATCTAATAGGTCACAAAGACAAGGCTTTAAAATCAAAACAAATGTATATGTAGTGTTATAAAGGTTTAATTAAAATTTCATCAAGCACAATTTGTAATCACAAGATGCAATAGATCACCTGACCATTTAGCGTATCATACCACAGTGGTGTGGGGGGGGGGGGTGTGAAGGATAGGACGAAGAAATCATTTTCCAAAACAATAAACAAGCTAATTAAGAAAAAGGAACTCTGTTTACAAATATGACACTTAAATGTGAACACATAGAGCAAAAGAATAACAGGAGGAAAGAGTGGGGATGTGGGGGTTAAAGTTAAAGAAGAACTAAAGCTAGATTTACAATCAACATTTTCTGTAAAGCTAAAATGAGGTAAAGAATTCAACAGTCAAAATGCTACTCAATCCCAACAAGCAGAATATATTGCAAAAGGCAAAAAAATATGAGTGTTACACACAATTTAGCTAACATAATTAACAAAGCATCGGGCATGTATATACTTTGACAACTGACTAGTTCATATTTTTATTGACCAACACAAATACAATTACTATAGTTGTTTTTTTAAATGCTTGGGTGAAAACCTTTACTAACTTAATTAAGAGAAATCCCATGCTCTGGACTTATAGTTTATAGTATAAAAAACATAAAAAAATAAACACTTCCTAAGTTGTATTAGCTAATATTGACTTATATGCCAAAAAGTATAAACTTGAATTACAAAAAACATTTTTTAAAATATATATTTTAGAATATGCTAATATGACTACTATATATCAGAATCAAAATAATACATTGAAATAACAAGTTCATGAAGTGTTAACAAAAGCATAAATCAAATGTTAACAAAACAAAAAAAATTTTTAACACAGACAACAGTAAAGTTAATAAAACTGAAAAGTAGAAATAAAAATTTAGATTTCTATAAATAGATATTTAAATTGTATTATTCTATAGAAAAACAATTTGCAACAATATTGACCGTTACTGTATAGTTAAATATAAAACATTTATATTATAAAATATAGATATTATATGTTACTTCCAAAATGCAATATTGTATACACCATAACCAAAAAATGACAGTTGAAAATGTTTTTGTGTAAAACTTTCATAGAGCATAAAGCAGTAAATAATTAAAGTTTACAAAAAACATATGGCTTAATACTTAGATATGACAGCTAATTGAGTAGAATAATTAACTACTGCATAATTATAGCACAACATGTAGTGTGCTTTACAACAGTTTTTCAATTGTTATGTCCCTTAAATTAACAATTAAATGAGATTACATGTGTTATGTTTTTTTTAAAAAAATGATGATATAGTCCTTTACATTTAAATTTAAAAAAAAAAACATAATTACTTATTACAAAAAAAACTTGAAAAAAAAAAGTAAAAATGTTTAGCCACCATACCTTGATGAATAATGGATATTAAATACTTTATCATTACAATGAAGCATTTACAATACATCCCCTTACAGCAACACATATACCCCTTTTAACAATGACCTTACTGCAATACTGAATGATCAAAAGGTTACTTATAAGCTAAAATGATTTACTCCTTTATTTAAAACACTTAAATGATTATTTCCCTTTTAAGTAAACCAACCTCATTATGCTCCATATAATCAGTGTTTCTTTAAGAATCTACCCACTCCCCCCCCCCCCCCCCCCCCCCCAAAAAAAAAAAAAAATAGAAATTATTATGAAAATAATATCTAATTTGTATACAAAACAAACTTTAACCATTACACAACACTCTCCCTCCCCCATAAGTTTCAACCATGCCCCTACCCACATGCCCCTACCCCGATGGAGCAAAGTGTCCAAAAGAAACCCTGCATATAATCATCACCAAAAGAAAAAAGCAAACATAAAATGTGACACCTGTACACAAGAGCAGATTTAAATATAAACTTTACACAACTTTGTAAACAGGTAAAACTAGTTTTATCAGATCAGATGAAGTCAACTTTTAAAAAAAAAATATTTTCTTATTTTTACCTTTGACAGGTGTTCAAGTTTAAGCGCTAAACAGACACCCATTCAATGTGAATACAATTCAACTCACATAAAGAGAATAAAAATACATCTATATAAATTTTACAATCAAAGGCATAACAAGTTCAGCATAACTAGACACAAATCAAGGATTACAATGAGCTTAGAAGCATGAACATAAATAAGCAGCTTAGATCAGTTTGCCAGTTATATCAAACATCTTCCTCAGCTCTTTATCTTAGTTCTCTTGAACTAAATAAAAATCTAAGAAAATTTAACTGCAATCCAACAAGCCTAACCAGAGTCTATGACCCCATAATGCGAGCAGGGAAAGGCTAAGACAACCAAATTCAGCAGCTCCATGAAAGGGCAAAACCCATTGAATCCTGTAGCCTCAGGTTTACTGATCACCACTCAGGCAAGAGGCAAGTAGAATTACCATCAATCAAACACTGATGCCAGTTTGATTAGCACTGAAGCATGAGTCAAAGATCAACAAAGGAGAGAATGAACACACAGCTTTGAAATAATAACAATACACAAAGGACGAGCGTTGAAATAGTTGTCAAACTACTTGCTCCAAGGTTTGATTTTTTTCTAACAGGTGCGACAACCCACGTTAATTATAAATCTTTCAAATTCAAAAAAGTGTGACACATATTGACATAAAAACTTAGGGAGTGGCAGATATAAATTTATAAACTGACAGTTGTGATGTATAAACTTATATACTGACTGCTGTGCAGATTTAAATCAATAAAGTTACAGTTGTGACATTTATAATCTAATATACTCAGTATACTGTCAGTTTTGCAGATATAAATTTATAAACTTAAACTTAGGATATATAAACTTAAATACTGACAGGTAAGATGGATATAAATCTAGATACCTGACAGGTGTGACAGATGTCAGTTTAAAAACTGACAGCTGTGATGTATAAAATTATATACTGACAGGAGAGAAGGATATAAATCGATAAACTGACAGGTGACAAAAATATCTATAAAGTAACACAGGTGAGATGTAAACATGGACAGTGAAACAGTCAAATAAACCTATATGAATTGACAGCTGTGACATATATGAGCCTTTAAAATGGACACTGTGCCACCCAAGTACACCTAAGAAATGACCAGGGTGAAAGACATAAACCTTTAAAATGGGTAGAGTGGCACCCAAATAAACCTTTAAAATGGGTAGAGTAGCACCCAAATAAACCTTTAAAATGGGTAGAGTGGCACCCAAATAAACCTTTAAAATGGGTAGAGTGGCACCCAAATAAACCTTTAAAATGGACAGTAGGCCACGCATATAAACCTATGATCTGACCAGGGTGAAAATGGGCCACCCATTTAAGTCTATACTGACAGGAGTGACAGGTGTCAATCTATAAATAGCCTCCTCTACAAACCCTTGTTGTAGTATAGCACCTCCTCCTGTGTGAGCTCTTGAATCTCAGGCTCCAGCTTGGATCTGTGAATCTAGAACCAGACAGAAGGAAATCAAATAAACTTCACATGGTTATAACAAGTCAACAAATACCAGGGGAGATCATTCTAAATGCTTGGGAGGATAAAAGTACAGAGTACAGTTCTCTTACGTAGTGTATTTAAGGTGGGAAATAATAAAATGCGCAAAAAGGAAACAAATTGTTTCCTTGTTGAAACATTTAGCCCAATTAAGGGCAGCAACCCCCCCTCCCCCCCCCCCAGACTAAAGCATGCTACTTCTGCAACACTTCAGTTTTTAAATATTTAAAATAACTAACATTTTTTTTTTTTAAATTTAGATCGAGATTACCTTTTTATAAGGCTTCAGTTCAAAAGTAGATTTTTGTGTTGTTGTGATGGTGCAAAGAACGTTTTTTTTCTGGTTCTTAAATGTACCCCCCCCCCCCACCCCCCACCATAGAAAAGTATAGTAAGAAGATAGTTGTGAGCATGCGTGACACCAAAGTCACAGAACAAAATATCTGGTGAGCCGGCGTGATACCCAAATCATCACATGTGTAATAAATCAATGACTCCAATCTACCCAACCGGCAGGCTAACACATAGGGACAGGCTGCACCCAACCACACCCCCACGGGGTCCCCGGGAGGAGGCACGATTACAATCCACACACACATCTCCCCACCCCTCTGCGCGATCCGACGGTTTCTTCGCGATATCAGCTCGTCAACACGGGAACCACGTGACATGGCAACTAGCACCAGCATTGTTAGAAAGGATTACGCGTCATACCCCCCAAATTCCACCCCACCCCCGTCTACAAAAATGATTTATTGCGGGTGTTTACCTGTGTTTATGATTTAATCCTAAGAATTTCCACTACCCTCACCCGCCACGATTCCTTGTTCTAATGACGTGTTTTCGGCTTAATTAGAATATACTAATGAGTTCAGCATGGGCACAGGTAATAATAAACGTATGGCTATGTTGGCATGAGTTATTAGTTGTTGCGTGAGCAAGGGGCAGCAACCCAGCGTCGACCAGGGACCATAACCTAATGTTGACCAGGGACTATAACCTAACGTCGACAAGGGACCATAACCTAGCGTTGACCAAGGACCATAACCTAATGTTGACCAGGAACCATAACAATTTCTACCAGACAGGGAACCAATATGAAACTTTTCATAGAGACAGGGAACCAAAATCAAACTTGGCATAGAGTCAAGGAACCAAGACCAAACTGTGATACAGAAAGGGAACAAATACCATACCTGGCTACAGAGAACGCGACATCAATGTTCCCTCTTAGCCTCGCTCTCGTGAGGTCGCACAGAAGTTATTGTGCAAAATACAAATAAATATCATCATTCTTTACAGAGCAACGCGCACACAACATAAGCTTTTTTCTTCTCACAAGCAAAGCTGCGTGGCATACCAATAACCCAATGGTAAACAAAGAAACGAAATTATCCGCATCCACACACAAAAAAACTTACTTATTGACCTTAATTACACTATAATTAACACCAACACCATCTATATCTTTTTGACAATCTGGTTAATTAGCAAAACATGGTTATTAAAAGAAAAAAAAAGACAACGACCCAAATGCCGTCATATTGATGTATAGATGATGTTCAGAAGTAGAAAACTACTATAAGAAAGAAGACGACATACAAGAGAATGTGAGAGGTTAAAGTTTATGTCAGAAGACAATGCAGCAGCTATTCTAGGGGTTACCCCCACTATAATAAACAAACATTAGGGTTAGTTGGGTGCTTCACGTAGGTCGTGTTGGAGGTTAACCTCTTTACTTACATCGCTAACCCTAGCCTAATCCTCACCCTGACCTTATCCCAAATCCTTACCGTGTCCTTAATTTAAATCGAGACAATAACACTAACCCAAAAACAACACACAAAAATGGCATTACGATACAGCATTCTCATTCCGTCATTGTTACAATAACAAATAGATCAGCCGCTACAACTTATGTGGTCTTGATGTTCGCAACCCAAAAAATGAAAACATTAGCGTCATGGTTGTGGGAAGAGATGTAAAATAATGAGCTTGTGTTGCCACCATAACCCCCCGAATTCCGCACCACGATTTACGGCCCTCGGATACCACAACGTCGGGATTCGCCAAGATATTATGGCCCGCTGCACCAGTTTATGTTCCGGTGACGAATCCGGGGAACACGGAATTCCTCCGCGCTGGAGAATAAAAATAGTTCCACCGATAGCTATTGCCAGATGCAGCCGGCCTACATCAGCGTTGAAAACATCATTAGCTGGTTTTCTTTTCAAATATCTACAAGTAAAGGCGGCAGATAAATCAGAGATTTGACTTCAGAACATTTCGGAGTATGCTTTTGTTCAAAGTTGGAATGACGATTCTAACAGGGTGTTCCACATAACGGCAAGTGTAATGCTCATAATGAGATTTAAACATGTAGTTTTAAGAGAAGGAAAGAGAAAGGTTTGATTTTTAACTAGACGAGGGACATCTCTACATGAATCCTGACAGTTCTTTGGTCTATTCCACCACAGGACTACTGTGGACAACCGCAGCTTCGGTCACGTACAGGGCGATTAGAGGAAATAAATAAAAAGGTTATTTCCATATGTATTTAAAGTGACTTAACATTGTAGTCAATGAGCAGCACAAATGGCTAAAGCTACACCTCTACAACATGTTTACAGTAGAAAAAAGTACCAAGCAGAGACAGTGGGGGTGGGGGGGAAGGGAGGGACCCAACCTTCGGTCACCAAGAGACTGCCAAAAAGTTGACCAAGGACCATAACCTAACATAGACCAAGGACCATAACTTAACAGACCAGGGACCATAATCAAATGATCAGGGATCATAACCTAACAGACCAGGGACCATAACCTAATGCTGACCAAGGACCATAACCTAACAGACCAGAGACCATAACCTAACGTAGACCAGGGACCATAACCTAACGTAGACCAGGGACCATAACCTAATGCTGACCAAGGACCATAACCTAACATAGACCAAGGACCATAACTTAACAGACCAGGGACCATAATCAAATGACCAGGGACCATAACCTAAAGTTGGTCATTAGCAGACACAAGTGTACAGTTATCTAAAGAATATCCTTTGCAAACCTGCCTTATAAGTAGACGCTAAACTAAACACCAGAACAATGACTCACTAAACGAAATTTTACCATGCAAAAAAGTACGCTTAAGATTCGACAGAAGATCACATAGGTCTCAACAACTGCACTATGACCTTTAATTTTCTTAGACCGACGTCTTTCCATTTTACGCTTTGTACACAAGAACCATGCACGGGTCACAGGTGCCTAGACAACAAAGATGGCCGCGGCGGCAGTACCAAGTGTGCAGTAATTATATTCTTACAATCAAGGAAATTAAACCAACAGTGTTGAGCCCTGCACACAGCCCGGGTAAGGGGCTGTTGTGGCTCAAGTCAATACGACGACCAGTAGTGCGTGGTTTGAAAAAAAAAAGGAAAATCGGGCACGCATGCACATTCAGCTCAAGCCTGCCGAGACGCCGGATGCGATATTTGCTAGTGGATAATCGAAAACAATGACGGGATTCTGGCGAAAAACGAAACTCCTTCCCTGGGCAATCAGTAAAAGTAATGCTGGTTTTTGTAGTAGTATCAGCTACACAAAAAAGCTTGTTAAAAATTATCTTGATTTTAGACAAATCGGAATCGATATTTTTTTTTTGTATTGCGTTTCAAAATGGGAGCGTTATACGATACGCTAGCTATTAAATGATTGGGTAAAAAAATGCACGTGACACGTTAGCTATTAAATGATTAGTGGAGAATTAAATTGTTATGACACCTAATTTCACGAAAAAGTACACCTGATATATTCAGGGGGAGTGGCGGTGAAAGGAAATACAGCCGTTTTACTGGGTACACAATACAACCACACAACGAGAGAGAGGGAGAGAGAGGGGGGGGGGGGGGGGTAGGCTTGTAATCAGGCTCCAAACTTGAAGCTAAACACAACTCCGGGAGAAAATTGAGGTTGAGCTCAGGTTTAAGCTCCGAGTTTTATTGCCTGGTTTAGCTGAGGTAACCCAACCGAGGCGTGGCTGTATTGAAGCCAGACTCTAGTGGCTGCAAATGTCAGACTTTTAACTGTACCTCGACGCAACTAACTCACCCGCATACAATAGTAACTTAGCCCCTAATTCCCTAATTCACAAATGAATGAGCCCACTCCCCCCCCCCCCACACACACAAATCCACACTGAACCACACAACGCATAACTGAAACCTACATCCACACAACTACTAACCGAAACACACAACGATTAACAAACTAAACCCTTCATCGAATAACTGAACCCCACATCCACACAACGAATAACTGAACCCCACATCAACACAAAGACTAAATGAACCACACAACAAATAACAAACTAAACCCTACATCCACACAACAAATAACAAACTAAACCCTACATCCACACAAAGAATAACTGAACCCCAAATCCACACAACGACTAGCTAAACCCTACATTCACACAACGACCAGCTAAACCCTACACTCACAAAAACGACTGACTAAACCCCACATTAACACAACGAATAACAAACTACACCCACATCCACACAACTAATTATTTATTCACCAAACCTCAACAAAACTAAACAAAAAAAAAAAAAAAACCGAACGAGCCATACTCTTATAAAAACATACAATAAAAACCACTTAATATAAGAAATCCAAATATCTCTTTACTTTCAAAATCCCCCCCCCCCCAACCCAATCAAATCAAATTCCACATCAAACTAAAAAAAACCGGACAAGTAATCCTATCAACAATTCAACAATCCTTCTCATATCTTCAAATAAAATCCCCTAGTTCCAATCATGCAACCGAGACTATCCCCATATTCCACCCGATTAATCAACTAATCTTTTCATATTTTACCTAGCTCTTTGTTACATAGATGAAATGCTCCACGAACCTAATGTGTATTGAAGTCTTAAGATGACGCGCATTCAGAACATTTGGTTAAAACACAATATATACAATTTTATCCAATTTTAAAAGAAATAGAACAAAGAAATAGTAATAAAAGAATGATTGAGGTGCTTTAAATTCGAAAGTAATACGCCAGCCAACAAATAAGCTTTCAACTAAGACGGCGATTATTTTTTTTTTTTTTTTTACATTATTCTCTGTGGGAAGTCGAGATATGCATTGAAATTTTGATAAAGCAGGCCGACCTGTATTCTTATAGAAGCTAACATAATGCGAGATTAGTCAAGAAATGTGGGGGAGGGGGAAATAAATTGTATGGGTAACTCCGCTATCACCTGGTTCGATGATTTTTAACACTGGAAAAATTAAAGCAATGGCATTTTGTAGTTTGGTTTTTTTTTTATTTCATGAGCAGAGAAAAACTGCATAGTCTACAATAATATATGGTTTAATGTGTCTAGAGGCTGCGTCATGAAAATTATGCACTGGCTAAGTAGAGAAGTTTTAAAATCGACATTTTGTTTCGTTCTTTTGGGCTTCGTCTTGTTTTGAAATCGATATTTTGTTGCGCCATTTCAAAAATCTACATTTTGTTTCGTTCTTTTTAGTGCTTGTCTTGTTTTAAAATAGACATGTTGTTGCGTCTTTTTAAAACGCATTACAATTTGTTTTTTTTTTAACAAAGAAAAAACAAAACAAAAATGAATAGCAGATATGTGGGAGGGTTGGTCTGGGAGGGGGGTTCTTCTCAACATTTTTTCCAAAAGGAGCAAAGGACAAATAAAACATTCCTATGCGCTGTGCAACTTTTACTAGTTCTTCCCAACTCTTCCCAATAATGTTCAAGTCTTTTAAATTTCTCTACACGCCTTGGGGGTCTCCCTCTTTTTCCTAATCCATAACCGTTTTTCAACGCATTTAAATATTCTTATTTTTTTTTTACGAAGCAAAACAAAGCATGGAAGGGCGCGGTCATTGGTTATGGTAGATTACACCGCTGCTAAATTGTAAGAGAGTTGCACATCTGCTTATATACCAGGCACGGGTCCACCCAGCTTGGACGGGAACCTGCGCCATGTTAGGTCAAGGTGTCTGGACATCAAACTAACCCAACGATCTATTGCCATGCCGAGGTTACAGAAAAAAGGCCGACACTATTTCATCTTCCGTCACATCCTTATCAGGAACTTCAATTTTTAAGTTATAGAGCTAGCTGATGGAAGGCGAGGTTAAATGTACGGCTAATCAGTACAAGGTGACCATCGTGTAAACAGGACATCACCCCCCCCCCGATATTACCCCCTCCCACCTCCATAGTTACCCCCCCCAGCCCCTGACAGTTACTCCCCCACCCCCTTATAGATACCACCCCCCCCCCCCACCCCAGACTTAAATTATCACACCTCTGCCAAAAAAAAAAAAAAAAAAAAAAGCAATAGTACATATCTCAGTGACGTGATTTATCCTCCACATTACCCCACCGCCTGGTCGCTTACCCCATGTCAGTTAAACCCCCCCCCCCCTCCCTCTACCAAACGGACACAACACACTGGTAATTAACACCCCCCCCCCCCCCTCCCGCAGTTTATATTACCCCTTGTCACTTAAATCTTCCCTCTGTCAAAAATAAATCATAGTAGGACATAACCCCCCCCCCCCTCTGGTTACTAATTGACCCCAAAACTGATGATAGGGGTAGAGCTAGGAATGGGGTTAGGGATAGGGTCAGGTTCATTTGTAACGTGAGTCAATATACAGGTTAATCCCAAAGCACAAAAACAAGAGCAATTCAATTGAGTGTGTGGGCACATGAAATACAGGACAACATGTCTAGGAAATAATGAAAACCAAGTAAGTGTGTGTGTATGTGTGGGTGTATGGTAAATCCCAAGAGCTAATTGTAATTGTAGGCCTACTTGCATTGTAAATCTGCTTACATTTGACATTTTTAGCATATTTATAAAATAAAAATAGTCATGTTGCAAAAAAAAATAAAAAAATTCAAAAGCCTATTCAGTTAAATCATGCCTAAATCATAGTAATTATTTCTATTTTTTAACAATCCTCCAATCAATAACATATTCTGAATATCACTTCATAATTTATTTTTTTTTTAATTGCTATTAAAAAAAAAAAATCTAAGCCTCGATTAAGGTGTTAAGGAAAAGACAACTCTAATCTGCTTAGCTAGTGCCAACAGTAAAAAATGTCTAGAGATCCATCCATCAATTCTTCTGCACCATAATCTAAGTTGTCTCCCTTTTCAAATGTCAGGTTTAAAATGAAAGCTAAAAAAAATTATATTTTAACCACCACTTGCAGTTCTTTGAATCAACATATACCAGTTAGAAACCAGGGTGGAAAAAATATTTTAAAAGAAATCTATTTTAAATATGACACCTATATAATTGAAAAAAATAGATTCTAAAATGGCAGTAATTGATAGGTTTTTTTTCTCTCTCTAATTTTATTTTCAAACTAGACACAGTGATCTTTTTATTTTTTTCACTTACATAGCCTGTAATGTTTTTAGAAGGCTCCAATTAAAACACAATATGTGTTTACAATTCTGCGATTGAATAGTTGTAGCATTAACCTAGAATGTAGTTTGTTAGTAGGTAGACTGGGTGTGAAGAATAGAAATACAGACACTGGTGTTTTATGTAGCTTGGTTTTTATAGAAATATCAATCAATGCAGTTACAGTAGTATAAACTGTAGTAAGGTAGCATAGAAATGTAGGTGTATGATGGCTATCAAGGTAGCTTTAGTAGTATAAACTGTACAACGACTTATGGGCTGGCTACCCAGGTAGCATAGAAATGTAAGTGTAAGAAGGCCTATGAGCTGGCTACCCAGGTAGCATGCAAATGTAGGTGTAGATTGACAACCTAAAAGTATGATTAATTTTTGCCCCATAACACTTAAACCACATCTAGAAAACACACACATAAATGAGTTCAGTTCCCAAACTGGAGATGAAATGATGCAAGTGAGTTCACCCACCACTGCTGGGTACCCGACTCCTAGAACTGACCATACTATCCCTTCATGTACTGAGGTCACAGAAACAGGTGAATTCTGCTTCATTTTATTCCATTTTTCATATCTGAAAGGGTATCTTTACTTAACATTATCATTACCCACAAACTGGATCAGCAAAATGGTATTTACTTGAAATGTAACCAATCTACATCAACACTTGCACCATGAAACAAATCTACCACACCAGACACCATAAAATCACTCAACCACAACACACCAGATAAAAACCAACCAATACAACAGACACCATAAAATCACTCAACCACAACACACCAGATAAAAACTAACCAATACAACAGACACCATAAAATCACTCAACCACAACACACCACATAAAAACCAACCAATACAACAGACACCATAAAATCACTCAACCACAACACACCACATAAAAACCAACCAGTACACAGACACCATAAAATCACTCAACCACAACACACCAGATAAAAACTAACCAATACAACAGACACCATAAAATCACTCAACCAAACACACAGCAACTCACCTCTGAGTACTGAGGGAACAGGGCAATAGCTACTGGTAAGGCACATCCAAAGGCAAGAGTACAAACAACAGCATTAATAGGCAGATGGAGTCTTGGGTTACGTATCAAAAATTTCCTCCTAGTTTAAGAAAAATATGTAGAACATTACTTTTTAATTAAATGTGTGTTATTTCTTGATGGTCATTGGTTTAAACTATTTTAATTTTTTAGGTAAACAATTTCATGTAAATTTTAAAACTAAGGAAAGGCAAGTTGTCAGTTATGAGAATTTTAAATCAGAGTAACCATAACAAATGATATAACAAGTGATATCTACAACTTATATATGCATCAAAGTGACCTGTAACAGCAACAATACCATAATTAACAGCTACATTGTTTTTACTAAGTCAAATAATGGCTTTTTAAAAATTACAACTTATTGCTTTACAATGGTTGAAAAACAACAGAAAAAAAACACAAAATATATATTAAATCTAATACACTGACACAAAAAATTGTGCATGCTAAAATCATTGGAACACATTTAGTCTCTTTATTCCGAGGACAGCCTCTTATACTTTTGTTACCGTCATTGAATAAATTGAAAAAAGTTATAATTGCTAGGAAAAAGTGGGATTTTTCCACAAATATAAGAAACCCAAATGTAGACACTCACTTCTCTAAAATGGACATGACTATAGGTGGGATGATGAATATAGGAGCAGGCAAAAACATCCTGGTCAGTGCAGTTTCTTTCAAAGCCTAGCTCAAGGGAGATAAACACAAAATTACAACATAAAAACAACATCAAGAGTTATTCCCCCATTAAACATGATTCATTAAATAATTTCAAAAACGAGTTGTTTTTTGGGCTAATTTTTACTTCGAAATATTTAGCTAACAAATTGTTTTCTTTTTCATGTACATATTATTGTACTACATAACCAGAACATTAAAAAGGATTTTGCAGTCAGCATTATGCAGAACCAACTTTACTTTCTCCAATGAATGTCTAGAGGATATGTTTTCACACCCCATTGGACTTTATAAAGTCTTACAGTAGTTACAGACAAGCTTTAACACTTGGCCACACAATTACACTACCAGCTGGAAAGTTCAAACAAATTGTAAAATTGCAACATTCTAAACACTGATGTAACTCCTTAATTAATAAATTTCTTAATTAATTAAACAGGTATACTTTGCATGCAGGGTTTATATCTACATTAATTGTGCATATAAAATTTTATAACTTTAATCTTGATCATATGATAACAAAAAACCCAGGGTTTAGATTAGTATCAACAAGAAACATCAAGAGTGTTGGAGTGTTAGAACTACATGCAACACAGTCCCTAGTAGCAAGACCCAAATAAAACAACAGTCTCATTACAAAATTCTAGTGGTAGTCTCAAGAAGTTGAGGATAAGAGAAGGCATAAAAAAAACAATCCTCGTATTTTGTTTTGAGCAATACACTTACATACATACACAACATACATGCACACAGTGGATGCTAGTGCTTTGTTTTAATCAACATACATGTACACATACACACGGCAATGCTATTACTTTGTTTTAGTTAATATACATGCACACTACAAAGTCTGAATAATTTAGAAATTTGAAAAATTGTTTAAAATTGTATTTTATGGTGTATAAGATGACTGGGCATATAAGATGACCCCCTACTTTTCAAGTTAAACAAATTGTTCTATAATAACCAGTTCAATAAGACAACACAAGGCATAGAAGACAAACCCTGTTGTTTTTTAACTATATATTCCTGGGTTAAAAAATCATTTTATACACTAGAATATATGGTGAAATTAAAAATAATCAAAATGTTTAATTTATATATATGCCTACACAGACATTACATACATATTATATATTATAGATACATATTATATTTTTTTTTAAACTAATAAAATTTAATGAAACAATTTCAATATTTGTAGTGGTTGAAAAATATTAATATATTAAATACCATTAACCATTTCTGTTCATAAATACACCTACCAAAGTTAATTACTCCATTTAAAAAAATTTACTGTTTCTATAAGGAGGTTAGCACCCCAAAGATCTACTCAAACCTTGAATACAAGAGAAATTTAACAGGAATAAAACAGCGACAATAAACTGACACCCAGAGCACAAGAAACTCACTTCTCTAGAAAGGACATAACAATGGCAGGAAGAATCAGGATAGGAGCTGGCAGAAACATGCGGGTCAGTGCTGTCTCCTTAACAGCCTAGCAGACACGCAGCGTGGAAAAATGTCAGGCGATTAGTCCAGACCCCACATAATGCATGTTATATATATGTATTTGTATGTAAATATTTTTGTGTATAAATTTAAATCTTATGAGTTGCCTATACATTTATATATATATATATATATATGTATGTATAAAAATTTGGATCCCATTAGATGCCTATATATTGATCATACTCTTGGTAGACAACATGAACATTCTGTTAGATAAGTATCCAGTTAGCTAACATTAGTCTGAAGGTATACTTTTTATTATACTGTAATGTTTGGTACCACCTAGAGTTTTCACAAAACAATTTTTTTATGCAATATGTAATATGTTAATACTTGCTATAACATATTGCACAGATTTGTATATATAAGAAAAAAGAAATAAACAAGCTTCTTATTCATTAGTTTTCTTTGTTTCCTAAGTCCCCAAACAAACATTACCTGAAAGAGATGACCTGCAGATTCCAATTTTTCTACCACCCAACTATTGTGTTTAGTTTCTCACCCATATAATCCATTGGGAAAAACATTGTATAGGTTATATATAAAGGCTAAAACACTCACCTTTTTGGCTGCGACCTTTGATGTACCAACCACTTTGTTGCTTTTGTCAACAACTTCAATGCCCTCGTACAGCTCACTATTTCGCATTAGTAAAACATTGCAGGTACTGGCAGTAGCTAGAGGTGGTGTGGGGGGAATGAGAAAAGTTCACTTAATGTTCATTCTCACTTGAAATAGTACACATTTTTCATGACAAATTTGAACGGAATGATAACAAAGATATTAAATTAAACAACTTTACAATACAAAGTCATTAAAAATTAGAGACCCAAATAGACAATCGTATTAATGGTACGAATGAACATTTATAATGGCCAAGCATGATAAATTTTAAAAATAACTAGTTTTATCTCCACTTCTGTTATTGAATATAGTAATCAATAAATAAAATTTAAAACATTAAGTTAATATCTAATTAGATTTAAATGAGATATTCTTGCATTGTCATCAGAGACTGATGTAATTGGAAATGTGTTTGGGTCAAAATTTAGTTACAAGATTTGCAATAAATAGAAATACACACATTCTGAACTAAATAACAGCTTATAAAAAAAATCACTTACCTACAGCGGGGAAGGGAACAAACCTCTGAATTAACATTTTTGTGGTGTGACCAAAGCGGTTAGCTCTCCTTATTAAAACACTGAGGCCTACCTTTGAAATAAAACACATTTTTTTTATAAATGCCTCTATCAAGTCTTTAATATTTATAGCTAGTTAACTAATGACATGAGCAAACTAATGATACAAATATTGTGGTTGTTTTAAACCTCTTTACCAACTGATTACCAACTACACGTAGCCTAAAATAAGTATAAGTTTTCCTCTGTGATCATAATGCTCTGATAATAATCATAAAAGAAGAATTTTCATACATTTGAAAGTTAGTGTTATAAATACCAGAATCAAATAATTATGATCAATACTGTGTCTTAAATGTCCACAGTATTTAAATTCCAAAAACTAATCGTTAAGTGCACTCAATCAGTGTTGATATGCAACAAGATATCAATACAAGGTATAGTATTAACATACCACCATAAGGTGTAAAATAAACGCAAGTTTTAAAAAAGTAGCAACAAGTATAATCCTGTCATGTACTTACTGCTATGCCCACAGCTGTTGTGACAGCCCCTGTGTACCCTAAGACAAATCTCTTTATAGGAGTTGGCTGTTAAATAAAAAAAATAAAAGCAATGTTACACCAACTCCCAGCAAGAAACTACTTAAGACTAGAACTACATAAACATGTAACATTAAAAACATTCTTATATAGGAGTCAGCTGTCGAAAAAAATACAAGCAATGTTACAGAGCCTCAGACTAGTACTACATAAACATGTAACATTAAAAACATTATTATATAGTAGTCGGCTGTCAAAGAAAATAATACAAGCAATGTTACAGAGCCTCAGACTAGTACTACATAAATATGTAACATTAAAAACATTCTTATATAGTAGTCGGCTGTCAAAGAAAATACCAGCAATGTTACACCAACCTACAGCAAGAAACTACTTAGACTAGTACTACATAAACAAGTAATATTAAAAACACTCAAGTTAGTCATAAATTTTTTTTAACGAAGTCTGTAAATGCCTTATACAATATGAAATGTCTTTTTTTAAATACCGCTTAATAGTATGTTTGGATTCATATAAATGCATGAACTTTGTTTTCATGAACTGCTATTAATCTTAAGTATTATTTAGTAGTTTAACACCAGTATTATACAAAGCAAATACATAAGGATGCTGATGCACATACTTTAAAAGTATTTTACATTAATTTAATCCTAGTATTACATTAAGCAAATACATTAGGATGCCATTAGACAAATACATAAGGCAGTATTTAATCTCAGAGGCTACTGATGCACTAGCTTTTATAAGTATTTTACAATAATTTAATCCCAGTATTACATTAAACAAATACATAAGGCAGTATTAAATCTACAAAGGCTACTGATGCACATACCTTTGTAGCATTCCTGTTAGCGTAGTTCACACAAGCGTTGTGGCTCTGATTGAGCCACTGCCAAAATACAATAGCTGGCATGGTGGGGTTGGGCAGCAGAAGACCCACCACCTAAAGAAAAAATAACAGATCCTTGGTACCAGAGTTAGATTATATTTACATTGATTATATAATTTTACAAATTACTTCTTAAGGTATTAACTTTAAAAGCTAAAACTTTTGATGAAATTCAAGAAATAGTAGGCCTACAATTACAGAAGTGCATAAGAAGTGTAAAAATATAAAATTATAACACAGAACAAAATGCAAAAGCTTTTTAATTATAACAGATATACTCACAATAAAGGACCCAAAAGGCACAAAGCCTAGAAAAAATGAAAGTTATGTATACATTATGTGTTAGCTAAATAAATATAAGTTAATTAAAAACAAAACACCAATTTAATACAAAGACAAGTTCAAATTGTAAAGATAACTAAAATTAAACTCTGGAAGTTGTCAAGTCAAACTGGACACAACTGTTATCCTGTCTTTGTGAATTTCTCTGAATAGGAGAAAGACCTGGAGACATGACCTGGAAGAAGACACCAAGAAGATTTGATACACCTGGGGACAGTTGGAGAGACTAGCCAAGGACAGAGACACCTGGAAAGCTCTTGTCAGTTGCGGGCAACAGGCAAATCTAACCTAACCTAACTGAATACGACTCCCAGCCTAACTTGGTTCTGCTACTGTAACTCTACTTGACCTACCAGGGAGTGTTTTTGTGGCCAGAAATAGCCAGCATCAAACATCAGCATGGAAAATATGAGGCATGGCCAAACATTGTGTTGGCCAGACTATCCATAAGCACATCCATAAGTATGGCTACATCCACAAGCATGGCTACATCCACAAGTATGGCCACACCCACAAGCATGGCCACATCCACAAGTATGGCCACACCCACAAGCATGGCCACACCCACAAGCATGGCCACATCCACAAGTATGGCCACACCCACAAGCATGGCCACATCCACAAGTATGGCCACATCCACAAGTATGGCCACATCCACAAGTATGGCCACATCCACAAGTATGGCCACACAATACACTGGCCTGGTCAACACATATGCTGACCTGACCCCACAATCCATCTCTGTCTCCTATTTTACTTAGCTGTTACACTTGTACTGAACATACATGTACATTATATACTAAAACACCATACAAGAAAAACTTCTAACCTGACATCCTAAAAGGCATGAACACTTTCTCCCCAGTATCAGGATGTATTATAGCCTACAAGACAAGAATTGCACTTTATTATTAATCATACACATTTTTAAAATTAATCAAACATGATAAAAAGATAAATCAAGTAGTAAAAAACTCAATGTTACAACAAAAGCAATCATCTAAGTTTACCTGTTTTATTTTCTGTGCCTTCCATAGCTGCTCATCTGTAACACCAGGTGGGACCTGGCCCTTTTTATAGTCCTCCAGTAGTTTCACTGCATTACTCAGCTCTGTCTGTGTGGATTAAACAGTTAGCTAACATAAAATATAAGCAACAAGCTGACCCGAGCCGAAAGCATACGCCACTATTTAGCTGTTTTATTTTCTACTTTTCAGTATATATGTGATTTGTTGAGCTTATAATTTCTCACTGTAAACAGATCTAGAACTAGATCTTTGTTTTCATTATAAATATAGAAATCATAAGGTTTAGCAATAGGGCTGGTAAGAAGGTCACCAACCAGTTCTATGGCTCATGCAGGTTTTATTGAGCCGTAGAGATGGTTGGTGACCTACTTACCAGCCCTATAAAAGCCTATAATCAATATGCTACTAAATTAAAAAAAAAAAATTTCCAAAAAATTTGGAAACGCTTCACGATTCTGCTTCACGATTCTGCGTGTCATCTCTGCGCGAGGGCCATGCTAATCTTCTCTGTATCGTTCCAATTTTATTATTTGTACTGCGTGAACAGTACACATAAGTGAGGGAACAAAATATATTTATACCCGTATATGTAACATTTTATTTTTATACGGTGTTTCATTCAATGAATATGCTCAATACTTCTTGCAATTTTATTTTTTTGTCACATTGGTTATTTTAAATACTTTTCATAAAAGACCATAAGTATATTTGATACAAAAATTAGTTGATTTTTTGAAAAAAATATGTTATTACATTTCTTTTCACATATAGAATTAGGAAATTTTTAGCGTCCGAGTATTACCTCCCCTTTTACTTTTTTGGTCTTATTAACTCCCCTTTAAGGCTTGATTTATTTTATTTTTTAGAGGAGGATTTTTATTTATTTAATACGAGCTGACCAAGGCGTGTCATACGCAGCTATTTAGTTTTTTTATTTTCTACTTTTCAGTACTTCATAGTTAGTGAATTCGACACTACCCTCCCTTCCATTAGTCCCTTATATGTAGCCTTTATTAGAGGTAAAAACAATTTCATTATAGCCAGATACATGACCAAAATATCTAGTTCACATTGCAGTCATTATCACTATACAGAAAATTACCAATAAACAAGTTAAATAAATGGGATCCATTATTTTTATTTCAAAAAAATAATTAAAATAATAAAACTTTCTTTTCATTTGAAATGGTAAAATTTATTTTAAAAAGTTAGAAAACAACAAATCAGCATTTTTGATTTTTTAAAACACAAAGTAAAATGCCTTATCACTGAAAAAGCTTATCTTAAACAAATTATGGAACAAAGTGAATGAAACTTTTTTTTAAATTGGAAATTTTAAAAAATATTTTCATGGAAGTTAAATTATTACTCAATTAATGATAAGAAAACTTCTTTTAACCTTTTTTTTTATCTACATTACATCAAGATTTCCTTCAACAAAACTAACTGAATTGCTGAAGTAGCAGTTTTTAATGCCAGCCTATGTAAATGCTATCTTGAAGGCTATGTAAATGCTATCTTGAAGGCTATGTAAATGCTATCTTGAAGGCTATGTAAATGCTATCTTGAAGGCTATGTAAATGCTATCTTGAAGGCTATGTAAATGCTATCTTGAAGGCTATGTAAATGCTATCTTGAAAAGTGTAATCAACTTACTGAAGATGTGAAGAGAGTTCTTGGGTCTATAATATCTAAGAAATGCCGAAGTCTTCCATTGAATGTGCTCTGGAAAAATAAAAGCACATTATAAATATGATAATTTTATACACAGAGGCGTAGCGAGAGGGGGGGGGGGGGGGGGGGTGCGGACCGCACCAGGTGACACCATTGAGGGGGGTGACACCAAGGCAAAAAATAGCAAAATATATAGAGAAAAACTTGAGGGGGGGTGGTGCAAATCGAAAGTTTGAGGGGGGGTGCAAATCGAAAATTTGAAAGTTTGTCCCCGGGAAGGATCGCCATGCCTCTGGGGGGTGACACCACTGTTTATATATATATAACTGATTTGATATATGAATTTAATTTAGGGCTTTACTTTTCAGCTCAATCATTGGGTCAGTGCACATCAAAGGTGCCAGCTTAGGCTAACGCGTCTATGAGTTTCAGCTTGGCATTATCAAAGATTCAAGTATTCCAATTGTAACCCATGTTTGCAGTTTAAAAAAAAAGACCTGAATGATAATTGATAGTATGCTGATATATTTGAAAAATTGTATGGGGGAGGGGTGAGAAATGGGACAAAGGAGAAGCTGTAATTTCTGTCAAAAAAGTAAATATGCCTAAATAAAACATAGTACTACAACTGAAACATTATCAATAAATTATCTTCTCATGCCAGTAATTCATTAACGCAAGCTGTACAGAAAAGCCTATAAAACACCATCATTTCGAAGCTCCACATTTCGTGGGATTATTCCATAGATAAAAGAGCAAAAGTAAGTTTTTTTTTAAAGAGAGGTAAAATTGATATTATTCAACTTCTCACAACTCTCACCTATTTAGTTATGAATATTTAACATCTAGGTAACAGAGATTAGTTTCAGAATGAGCTACATACAATGTTAAAATGTTTAAAAAGTGTAAACAAAATTACAGAGTTGAAAACATAACCCAAGCACAGCAAGTTTGGTATATTGGCTACATTATTCACTTTTAAGGTTGTATATAGACAATGTAATAATATAATTGAATAACATAGGTCACTTTTTATAACTGGTTTTATCTTTATACAATTTTAAATAAAACAAGCATAAAATCTATTACAACCAACCTCTTAAATTTCAAATAGGGAGAAATCTTATTAATAAGAAGTATAAAAGAAATATTATATAGGACCTATATTATAGATTCTAACATTGTTGAAATTATTTTAAAAGAATTTAGTAAATGTTCATATAATTTTGTGACCAAACAGAAGGCCTCATTTTTTAATTAATTAATTGATTAATTAATTAAGTGGATGATTATATATATAAGCATATGTAAAGATATACATATATTAAATAATGTATGTAAACTGTGTCTTTAATGCATAACTACACCTTTCATCAGATCACCATAAAACTTTGGGAAGTGTTTGAGCACCTGGGATCCATTGATTGGGCGCCCAAGCATGAGGGTCAGATGTAGGCCTATTTTTAAAAAATGATCAAACTGCACTAAGTACACCCTGGCAATCGAGTGACCCATAGCTCCCCCGGTCTCTTGGTGAGCACTATAGTTCCATACACCATAAACACAGTTGATTAAATCAAATCAGGCATGTCCATTTGCGCCTTCGTGACAAAGTGCACCTTGGACTTCCACATCATCACCGTGGAGCATATGTTAGTTTTAAAGAGCACCCTACAAGGTAGGTCACTACATTTGTTGACTAAATTGAACCAGTGCAAGCACATAGCACCCCTGTGGTAGTATAACCGGTGGCTGTCAAGGGAGCCCTAAACGTCCCTGACACCTGGGGGTCGCCGAGGTGTGTTAAACCTCACTATTACGGAGGGTGATCAAAGTAAACTTAATGTTTTCATACAAAATGCTCTAGGGGTCTGGGCAGCAGTGTGAACACACCTGGCCTCAACTAGGATCCAAGAAATATAGTGCGCCAGTGTTTACATCTAAATAATTCAGTAATAGAAAACGCAAGGTTGTATGCCTAAAAATGCATGATTGATAAGGCATTGATGAAATCCGTTTAAAATGTTGCGTCAGCCTTTCTTCTGAGATTGCAACGACAAGCATGCTAGTTTACCATGAAATTTAACTAAAATAAAATAGCATAAATTCTAGACTAAAATGACTAGATCTAGATCTAGATCTAAATCTAGTTAGGCCTACATACTACATACGATTACATAATACGGTTACATAATAGTTTATATTTTTTAGACCTCTCCTTACTTACTATACTTAGATCTAGATCTAGATCTAGAATCTAGTAATAATAATAATTAGTTAGGCCTAGATTCTAGATCAAGAACTCACTCATCACATCAGGGCATCATTGGTGACTTTGAGTAGTGAGATACAGAATGACAATCAGAATTAATAATAAAATAGATCTAGTCTAGACTGTGTTTATAAAATAATAAAAATAAAATAAGTGTTTGTGTTTGTTTAAAAATATAAAAATCTAGACTACCTGATCGAAACGCGGTTTATTCAGCTGGAAAGGGGGATATTCTTGAGCTGCTGCCATGATGGTCTGGGCTTGATAATATATTTAGTTCACTTGAAGCCAATCCCAGGTGTTAAATACTTAAAGAAACCAGTTGCATCACACAACCTTTTAAATTATTCTGTAACACGCAAACCAAATTACTGAAACGTGACTTGTGTTATATTTAGGGTTGAAAGGTCAAGGCCTGATTGTACTAACCCAGCAATGAAAGAAAGTTAACCCATGAAAACAAACTACATACCAAATTTAGGAGTAGTTTCCCTTTACAATAAAAAACTCTTTCTGATTCCCCATCATAGAGTAGAGGCCGCGTTTGGATAGTGTCGAAGAAATAACGTTGACATGCAAAAGGTTAATTAAAGACTATACTACATTTTTAAAACGCGGCGACACATTCGCTTTTAAAACAACTGCACTGCTTGCATTTGTTCTCTAGTTTAATGCATACTCGTTTTTAATTTGAAAATTAAGTGGCGCCCCAAGCTTTTATCTTTAACTTTTATCATTTGTGCATTTTGGTTGGGGTTGTTCATAAACGACGTCATACGCCTAGAAACGGGAAAGTGTGTCCGACTTTTATGGCGATGTTTAACAAGGTGGAGGGATGAAGGGGGGGGGGGGGGAAGGACGACCAGTATTAATTGTTACAGGTATCTCTCGGCACTCCTCCAAACCGAAACCTTCACCCCCCCTCCACTTCGATAAAAATGAAAAAAATATTAAATTTGTGTACAAAATATATACTTTATTTATTGCCACTCCCCCTCCCGGAAATTATAATACAAAAATCTTGTTGATATGTGCTTAAAAATATGAGTCTCTGTTCGGAAAGGATAAACACATGGTTTTTCAAAGGGAATATAGTAGGTCTAGATGGGGGTCGAAGATGTAAGGGTCGGAGCAGTAGCGTAGCGAGGGGGGGCGGGGGGGGGGGACCTTAGGGGGCGCCAAAATGGGTTGGAAAAATAAATTGAAAGGTTGAGGGGAGTGCAAATCGAAAGTTTGAGGGGGGGGGGGGTGGTGCAAATGGAAATCTCAAGGGGGGGGGTGCAAATGGAAATCTCAAGGGGGAGGGGGGTGCAAATCGAAAGTTTGAGGGGGGTTGCAAATCAAAATCTTGAGGGGGGGTGCAAATCGAAAAGTTTGTCCCGGGCGCCGGGTAGGGTCGCTACGCCTCTGGGTCGGAGCGCGGTTGACTAGAGTAAGATTCGGGTCGATTAGCCTGTATCCATGATGGAGGAGGCAAGTCTAAAATGGCTAAGAGGCGGCACGTTCTTTGTTGCTGAGTTTTAAAAATGAAAATACAGTGTGGAACTGGCGTGCGGTCCATAGTGGATCAAGATGGCTCCTAACGCGGGATTAGATTGTGTCTTTACAACAGTAGCGTAGCGAGGGGGGGGGGGGACATATGTCCCCGGGCGCCGACCTTAGGGGGCGCCAAAATGGGTTGGAAAAATAAATTGAAAGGTTGAGGGGGGGGGTGCAAATGAAAATCTTGAGGGGGGGGGGGGTGCAAATCGAAAAGTTTGTCCCCGGGCGCCGGGAAGGGTCGCTACGCCTCTGCTTTGCAATAGACTGACTTTATACATAGTTGATAGTCCGAATGGGCAGAGTTTCTTCCAGGCATCTCTTCGGGGGGGGGGGGGGGGGCTCCAATTTCGCCCCCCCCCCCCCCCCGAAGAAAGTCTACAGACCCCGAACGAAATGGAATTTATATAGAAAACATATATCTTTACCAGTGTCCGCCCCCCTCCCCGGAAAATGTTGACCGCCCCCCCCCCCCCGCGAAAATATCAAGTGCCCCCGGAGAAAAAAGTCTGGAAGAAACACTGCGAGTGGGGCAGTGTTTCTTCCAGACTTTTTTCTGCGGAGGGGGGGTCACTTGAAATTTTCGGGGTGGGGGGTCGGGGAACAGGACATTTCCCCCCTGTCAATCACCCCCCGGATATTTCCCCCCCGACATTACCCCCCCAGAGTAATTACCCCCCTGTCAATTACCCCCCTGTCAATTACCCCCCGCCCAGTAGGACATTACCCCCCCGGACAGGGTTAGAGTTAGGGTTAGGGCTAGGTTTAGGGTTAGGGCTAGGTTTAGGGTTAGGTTTAGGGCTAGGGCTAGGGCTAGGGCTAGGGCTAGGGTTAGGGTTAGGGTTAGGGTTACGGTTAGGGTTAGGGTTAGGGTTAGGGTTAGGGTTAGGGTTAGGGTTTGGTTTTAGGCCTAGGGTTAGGGTTAGGTTTAGGGCTAAGGTTAGGGTTAGGGCTAGGGCTAGGGTTAGGGTTAGGTTTTAGGGCTAAAGCTAGGGTTAGGGTTAGGGTTAGGACTAGGGCTAGGGTTAGGGTTAGGGTTAAGATTAGGGTTAGGGCTAGGGTTAGGGTTAGAGCTAGTTTTAGGGTTAGGGTTGTGTCTAGCTTTGGTTTTGGTTTTGTGTGAAGTTTTAGGCTAAGGTGGATGCTTAGGTTTTGGTCTTTTTCTTAAGGTTTGGATTAAAGTAGTATATAGGTATACAATTCTAGTTAGAGTTAGGATTTTAACTTGAGAGGGGGGGGGGGGGGTAATTCCCCGGGGGGGTAATTGACAGGGGGGTAATTGCTCCGGGGGGTAAATACGGGGGGGAAATGTCCGGGGGGGAAATATCCAGGGGGGTAATGTCCTGTAGCCGGGGGGTCGACACTGTTAAAAGTATATATTATTTTCTATATAAATTACATTTGGTTGGGGGGGGGGGGGGGGGAGGAGGCGGTAGCCTTTTTTCGCCTGGAGGGGGGGTGATGTCCTGCTCCCGGGATAGTGAAATGTGATATCTGTATGTACAGTAGGATGAAATGACTCAAAGGGGTTGAACAAATTATTTTACTCTTTTCAACCATATGGCCAAGCCATCTGCGTAGCTTCAAAGGCTGGGACCAGTTAGAGCCAGACAAAAGGGTTAAATCCGGACTGACACAAATGGACGCTTCACGTGTCGCTTCAGGTTCCTTCAATCAACATTGATCAATTCAATTAACACCAATCAGCCCAAACTGCCAACTCAGCTTGATTCACAATGCGTTGAAGCTCAGGTGCTGTTTGATAGAAGAGACGTTTATGAGAGTTGTATAGAGGAACACTAATCAAGTGCACGTGAGCTTTAATCCGTGAACATCTGTGACGTGGTGGATGGATCCAACCTGCTGATGGAGGATTAAACGATTAGGATAATCAGGTGACCCTTCGATCTATCTTTGCTCCCAGTTTGAGGCCAGCTTGAGGGATTATTTTAATTGAATGTGAACATACCCAATTAGTGCGTGACATTTGGGGGGATGCCACATATGCAATGACAAACGAGGTCAATTTGACATAATAATTATTTTATGTTAATTGGATAAAATGTTTTTCCCGGATTATGTAGGGGTTTATTTTTCTTCGGCCGGCGTGGTAGGACGGTACGAATTTAAAAGTATCGCTTATTCTTATAATGGATAAACCATTTTTTTCAACTTCAGCATCAGCATTTATGTGGACCTCTTGTAGCACACAGGGACGAACCACACTTCTCTATTGTACTGGGTTTTGGGCGATTCCTTTACAACTGATTTTTTTTTCGTTTTTCTTGGCATCACCACTCTTCTCATTCCTCGGGGATTCAAATCTCATGCTTGTCTGGTATTGGTTTGAGCAAGGTGTGTACAATCTGTCCCCATTTACGCCTTTTGTATTTTTTCGCCAGTAGAGTTTTCTCCGTTGGTGCTAGTGCCATAATTTTTATCAGACTACCCGATGTTGAAGCGCAACGCAGGAATTCCTTTTTGTTTGAATATATTTTTTTATTTATTTTTCTTAAAATAAACCGGGAGTGATCTCCCCTAAACTTTCTCGAATATTCTAATATAACACTACGTGGGATGTCAACTCGGAATATAGACATGATTTTTGTTTACTTAAACTTTTAAAAGTAGAATAAAATCTAGTAGAAAAAAAAATTGCGCACCAAGCGAGCACCAAAACCAAATGTGCGTAATAGTGCGCAATATTATTAGTACTTTATAAATTTACATGCGTTTTTTGAGAAATCGGAAATAGCGTAAATTAGTACTTCCGGTCAACGGAAATTACTCAAAATTTGATAGAAGGTAGAGAATTAGATCTTTTACTTACATGTGAAATTTCATTTATCTATCTGAATTAGTGCTGAAGTTATAGGCTTTTGAAAAATTCAAAGTAGAAAAAGTACCACTTCCGGTTATCGGAAATCGCTCAAAAGTTGATACGGATCTACGATTTTGATATAATACTTATATATGAAATTTCATCAACCTAGCTGTAACGGTACTCAAGTAATCGTGTTTACACACAGACAGACACACAGACACACAGACACACACACACACACACACACAGACATACGGACAAGATTGCAAAATTATGTTTTTCCGTATCAGTGAGGTGTAAAACGTCGAGATTTGTAAAAATCTCGATTTTTTTTTGCACGATTACAATACTTTCTCTATACTACGTATATACGAGAAAGTAAAAAAACAACAAAGGTTATGTTATGAGGATCCATCTATTAATAATACTCAGCCTTCATCTAGCACTAGCCTAAAAAGGTAACATTGACTATCGCGACAAGAAGAAAAAGGAATACAAAGTTCATCAACAACGATAAACTGTTTCTGGAGTCATCGTCATCATGATCATGATCATCATCATCATCATCATCATCATCATCACCGTCATGATCATCATAATAATAACAATAATCATCACCATTATCATCACCTTCATCATAACCATCATCATAATCATAATAATAATAATTATCTTCACCATCATCATCACCATCATCATCATAATAATAATAATAATAATAATAATAATAATAATAATAATAATAATAATAATAATAATAATAATAATAATAATCACCATCATCATCACCGTCATCATCACCGTCATCATCACAATCATCATAATCATCATAATAATAATAATCATCACCATCATCATCACCGTCATTATCACCATCATCATAATCATCATAATAATAATTATCATCACCATCATCATCACCAGCATCATCATAATAATAATAATAATCAACATCACCATCATCAGCACTATCATCATCATCACCATCATCATCATCATCATCATCATCATCATCATCATCATAATAATAATCATCACCATCATCATCACCGTCATCATCACCGTCATCATCACAATCATCATAATCATAATAATAATAATAATAATCACCATCATCATCACCATCATCATCACCATCATCATCACCATCATCATCATCATCATCATGATCATCATAATAATAATAATAATCATCACCATCATCATCACCGTCATCATTACCATCATCATAATCATCATAATAATAATTATCATCACCATCATCATCACCATCATCACTATCATCATCATCACCATCATCATCATCACCATCATCATCACCATCATCATCACCATCATCGTCATCATAATAATAATAATAATCATCACCATCATCTTCACCATCATCATCACCATCATCATCACCATCATCATCATCAACTTCAACATCATCATCACCATCATCACCATCATCATCATCGTCAACAACAACATCATCATCATTATCGTCATCGTCGTCGTTGTCATTCCCTCGGACCCATTGCGGAACATAAGGTACGAAACCACACCTCTGCATCGTACTCGTTTTTTGCAATTCATCCAAATTGATCCCCATTTCTGAAGTCGGGCTTTAACTATTTTAACTGATTGTTTTTTCCAGTATTGTTACAAATTATTGAACCAGCAACAATATAAACATGGTATTATGTCTTATAAATATCCGACTTTGTAATCGTTACTATAGTAATTCCTCTTGTAAACAACACGGTTGCTTCAGTTGTTACGTTGACTGAGAAAACATGTTACATAAAAAGGTTTTGTTACGTCGTTTTTTTTTCCGTAATAATAAACAAAGTGAATACATTTTTTAACAACCAGTGTCCCCAGATTCAGAGGTGATGGACCTAACTTGAAACCTTTAGTGATCTTATATAAACAAAGTGATCTTATATAAATAAGTAGCCGATACAATCTAAAATATAAGTGACGTTTGCATATTAACCTTCAACTTTGTAAAACAAAGGAGAAATTTATTTATGCAACATCAATCATCCAATTGTAATTGTATATATTAATTGGGTTAATGAGAGATGAGGTCGGGTGTCACCTGGTGTAGTAATTCATTGTCACACACGCACACACTCACACACGCACACGCACACATACACATATAGACACGCACACGCACAAACACATACACGCACACATACACATATACACACACAAACACACATTCACACACGCACACGCACACATACATACACGCACACATACACACATACACACACAAACACACACGAATACACACACATACGCGCGCACATACACACAAACACGCACGAATACACACACATACGCGCGCACATACATACAAACGTACACATACATGGCTAAACATAGAATACGTAAAACTAAAAGTTACCCATTCAAAGCTGATCGTCCATGTCGTAGCTGAAGTAGAGTTCCCCTGTCTCTGTAACCGCGGCATATGAAACGGTAGTGTGGTCAGCACTTTACCTAACATGAGACGTCAGATATGGAATGTCACACGGACTCAAGACGGAGAATCCGAACTTGAGTCTATGGGGGGTCATCCATAAATGACGTCACGCTTTTTTGGACGATTTTTACCTCCCCCTCCCCTCCCTCGCAAAAAGCCAGACCACCCTCCTCCATAAAATGACGTCACACCTCAGCCTACAACCCCCTTCAACATTGCAGTTGATTTTTTATTAAAACATCGATATTTTTTCAAAAACTCTCTGTCAACATAGAGTATTTTCATCAATTCCTATTACAATATTATATTAAAACCTTTTTCTAAAACGCGAAAAAACGGCTAAAACTCGTTTTCTAACATTGCTTTTTTTATAACTCAAAAATGTGACGTCACACCATCTGAACTCCCCCTCCCCCTCATCACACACCGCCACAAAATTACGGAACCCCCCCCCCCCCACCTCCCCACTACGAGTGTGACGTCATATATGGACGACCGCTATAAGGTTAGCAGGGTGACAGGACAAATGATCTCAGGACAAATGATCTCAGACAAAATATCTGTCCTGATATATTTTTGTCCTGGTATCTTTTGTCCGTGAGATCATTTGTCCTTGAGATCATTTGCCCTGAGATCATTTGTCCTGGGATCATTTGTCCGTGAGATATTTTGTCTGAGATATTTTGTCTGAGATCATTTGTCATGGAACCGGTTAGCAGTCATACGCTCTACTGTCCTACCACGCCGTTCATTCGAATGATGAAAAACAATAACATATGTGGGTACAGCAGATGCGTAGCGAGGGGGGGGGGCAGGGGGGGGGACATACGTCCCCGGGCGCCGACCTAGGGGGGGGGGCGCCAAATTGACAGTTTGAAGGGGGGGGGGGGTGCAAACCAAAAGTTCGAGGGGGGGTGCAAATCGAAAGTTTGAGGGTGGGGGGTGCAAACCAAAAGTTCGAGGGGGGGTTGCAAATCGAAAGTTTGTCCCCGGGCGCCGGGAAGGGTCGCTACGCCTCTGGGGTACAGCGTTCACTGTGGACCAGTGTGATGATTAGTGCTGCCTGAGTATATAATCGGACCACTGATGACTATGTTTTGTCGGATTGGTCAGTATGATCATCAACGTCAATATAACTCATTAACTAAGAATTCAAATGAGAAAAATTGATTGAAGTCTGATAATTTGATGCTCGCGATCCCTATACAAATAAATTTCAAACCATTTACCACTTGATACATTTCCAGGTAATAATAATATCCATATCTCATGTTAATCCCTCGGATTAATATAATAGGGATCCTCTTTATAACAAGGACTATTTACACAATTACCCTTCACACTTGACCCCTTGATTTGCATACCAGCCGGTGGGGCAGTATAAAGGCATAAGGGCAGCTTGGGCATCTCTTGATGACACCGTTAGGTTGAGTAATTTATTTCTCTATTTTAGTTCACATTTTATTGTATGTTGTGGCGATAATCTTAATACTCGCTTCGTGGACGTTTGCGTTGAAGTATTTTATCTTAATAATTTATCGAATTTGATCGTTTCGGGTGTGTTTCGGGTGTGTTTCGGATGTATTTTGGATGTGTGTTTGGGTGTTTCGGATGTGTTTCGGGTGTGTTTCGGGTGTGTTTCGGGTGCTTTTCGGGTGTGGTTTACATAATTTAATGTGCACAGTTCGTCTACGACAGAGTGGTTCTTAAACAGGGTTCGATGGGACTCCAGGGGTTCGGCAAGTCAGCCTCAGAATTTTGGCTGGGGTCAAAAATGGACTCAAGTGATTCGCGATTGGATTTTGTCAACACGGATGTTCTAATTAATAAAAAGGGTTCGATGAATTAGCATTTAAAAGTGGTGGGGTTGGGTATCCGCAAAAAGGTTAAGAACCACTGATCTATGACAAATATAAAATATAAATGAATCAGGCAATGCTGCTATGTGTGTAAACTTGTCCTTTCATATTTAGTGTGCCTCATCACGTTTTGCGTTGTTTAGCAGTGCTGGCAACATTAAGACAAAGCAAAACATTGAACACAGAGTGATTTACAAGAGAATTTAACGATCAAGGTGTATTGAAATGTAACACTAGTAGAGTCCGGTCTAACAGTAGAAGGAATTTTTTTTTTTTAAACAATTCTTTATTACATTTTTTTTTTCTAATTTTAAAACCTACTAATTTTGAACAACTAAACAGATAACAGTCGCTCATCGAGATATGTTTCATTGCCACAGAGTCGTGACGTACGTCTCAAGTTTTAACTAAATTGGCTCGTTAGAAATGGTTGATTTTTCGCTCGCAGTTTAGACCAAGACTGAAAAATGTAGCTTAAAGCAAAAAAAAAAAAATAAATAAATAAATAATAAAAATTAAAAATCTGCAGACAGGAGAATCAAGTTCAAAATAGCAAAAAATAGAACATCAAAATCGTCTAATTTTATTAGCTGTAAAAATATGTTTTAAAATTTTCATCGCAGTGTAAAAAAAAAATGCCAGGAGATCTGACTGGGGAGGTTCTAATGAAACGGTTCCAGTACCGAGCAGACACAGACCCGAACAAAGATGGATTTGTCTTTGTTGACCAAACAATGAACAGGATTCCCTTATCCAGGTTCCAGATATGGGACATGAGTGGACGTTACGCGTCTCGCCTTAGACGTTACGGCATAAAGGTAAGTAAAGTTCCTTTTTCGAACCGGACCGTCCATGCGGCAGGTGAAGTAGAGTTCACCTGTTTCTGTGACCTCGGCATATAAATGGATCTTATGGTCAGCACTTTGCCCAGCGGCCTTTACTTTCCTTAACTCGAGACTTTCGGCTTAACAGTCTAGCGTTTTAACGCAAGGCCACGCCGTCCCACACAGCAAACCTAAAGGTAAGAATTCATAAAAGTCTTGAATATAGAAACCGGAAAATCATGTTTTTTTTTGACACAGTGCTACACTGAGATGGGAGGGGGTTGTTAGGAAATATATCTTACATTTTGTAATATTTTTTTAATTGAAAAGAGTATTTCATATATCGTTAAACACACGGGTGTTTGTTATTTAATGGCTGAGGCATGGGTAGATTAGACAGCTAAATGGGCTGCCCCTACAAAAGACATTGTTACTTGGATGCCGAATGTCATTGTAATACCAAATTTATTAATCTCAAATAAGTGCTGTTGAAACACTTTTAGGTTGTATGTTGGTGTATGTTAATCGTCATCTTCTGGCGATGTATGAGGTATCTGTGTGAGGCTTAGTATCGTCTGCTGGTAATGACATGTGTCTGAATGAGGTTTATTAAAACAATCTCCGTCTTCTTTCACCAGACTGGCGATGTTGTTTGCTCAATGATGAAAACATCCAGGACAAAACTCATCACAACTTTCGGTGTCATAGCTGCCGGTGGTGTCTTTATCAATGGGCTGGTAGGTCGGTGGCTATAGTGAGTGGGATGGTGTATAGAGGGTGAGGTGGTGTGTATATAGGGGCGTGAGGTGGTGTCTATAGGGGGTGAGGTGGTGTCTATAGGGGGTGAGGTGGTGTCTATAGGGGGTGAGGTGGTGTCTATAGGGGGTGAGGTGGTGTCTATAGGGGGTGAGGTGGTGTCTATAGGGGGTGAGGTGGTGTCTATAGGGGGTGAGGTGGTGTCTATAGGGTGGTAAGGTGGTGTCTATAGGGGGTAAGGTGGTGTCTATAGGGGGGTAAGGTGGTGTCTATAGGGGGTGAGGTGGTGTCTATAGTCGAGTAACGTAGTGTCTATATTGGTGTAAGGGGGGTGAGGTGGTGTCTATAGTGTGACAAGTTACTGCTAAAGTGGCGTACGTTTGCGTCTTTGTAAAAGTCTCATTGCATCTTTGATGTTGCATGATGGTGTTGTTTTATTGTAACATTGAGTCTACGGTATATACAAGCTGCAAGGTAAGATAGATTACATGCGTCTCCCCCACCCTCCTCATGTACCTAATGTTTATACATGTGTCTTCCCCCCCCCCCCCCCCCCCATCCTCACGTAACTAATGTTTACTATATGTGCATGTTTTTATTCAGGCTATGCTAAATGACGGTCAAGATATTTTTAGAGTCCTGAATACATCGAACAGTGAAACGATTTTAACGTCATGGAGTAACCCAGAATTTGTCTTTCTTCAGAAGTATTTACAAATGAGGAAATCGCCATCAGATGTTGGGTAAGTGTGTTTTTTCTTAACATGGGAAATAATCCACGTTTTTTTAAATGTGGAAATATTTTTAAAAATTGTATATTTTCCATGATAAAATATCTAGTCTAAAATTTTGGCATGGCCACAGATCTTACAATGACAAAAGTTATATATCAACAAGGGCAAGAAAAAATCAATGAGAAAAACATTTAAAGTTGCCTCCCTTACACAACAGACAAACGAATCAAGGAAGCCAAGATTCATCATATTGGCGTTCATTTGTGTTAGAGCCTAACGATTCGAACTTATTAAAAAAAGAGTGGTGGAGATAATGACCATCTGAGTCAAAAATGATTTATATATTCTATTCATTGTTTCAATGGGAATAAAGTAAACATTTAAAATAGAAGATACGTTATTCTGAAGCAAGGCACAAATACTCAGTTTGTGTGTGTGTGTGGGGGGGGGGGGGGTGGGTTCTAATTGGGGAAATTTTTTACTCATAATAACTGCTCTTGTTAGCTGAACTACTATTATCTATATTTAAGTTTTAAAGGTCAACAAATGCCTGAAATCGGGATTTTGTCCGATGCGGACAAGCGGCCGTTCCGAAAAATGGCCTTCGAAAACGGTTTTCATGCAAACGCAAATGGGCAAATAGTGCCTCCAGTGTCTTTAAGCTAAATATCCAGCACTAGTATGGTATGAGTTAAGGTATTTTTAAAAAAGTAGATTGAACAGTATGCCCTATAAGTTCAATTATTTCCTTTTTACTTCCTGTTTTACTGTTTCAGTTAGAATATGTGCCAGATTTACGAAAAAGATACTAATAAAATACCAAGTAGCTTAACTAAACTACATCGAAATCATTATAGGTAACAACCAAAATATGTAAAAGTTTCTTTTTATAATGTGTTGTATCGTTGCAGGTTTGAAACCATCATCCCGGTACAGTGTAGCCAGGCCCCGTGTCTGAAACAGCTGATCGTGTACAAGTTAAACAGCCACCAAGACCACACAACTTTCCTCTCTTCTCTCGCTGATGAAGACTTCTATGAGGCTGACGTCAATACTGATGACGAGGCTTACATTTTCTTGACTTCCGGAAGTACCAGCTACTCCAAGATGGTGCCCAGAACACACAGGTACACGAACATTCCCATAACATTGGCTGGTCGAGCGGTGGTGTTTAGATCACGCATAGATCCATGAACATGGTCGATCTAGAGGCGTGGCTAACTATTTCGGTGCCCTGGGCGGACTATCAATTTTGCGCCCCCTCCACCATATTTCTCTATATATGTCTGTGAAAAAGCCCCCATCCCCTCTTTAATTGGAAAGCTTTGTGACGCTTCTTACCAGCTACTATGCGGTAACATTTTGTATTTTGGTGTCACAAAATTTTAAATCAGTTTTTGAAGTCTTGAAGTTTATTTTCGTAACTTTGACTATGAATAACTCAATACTTCAGCTTAATATGAGCTTGTAAATTAATTGTTCCACCCCTTTTGGCGCCCCGTTAGGGTCGGCGCTTGGGGCTAACGACCCACCCGCCCTTCCCTAGCTGCGCCACTGGGTCGAGCGGTTGTGCCAAGATCACACACATATACATGAACATACATTCCTAACCAGATAAAAAGAGTGTAGTATCATGTTTGGATTCTGTAATTCAATCAATACATCAGGAAAATATGAAACGGCATTGGCCAAAAGCGGCAGGCGATTCAAAGGTGAGAAATGAGAGAGAAATACACATAAAGAGACATATTATCCCAACAACATTCATTGAAACAGATGCCGCGCATATTGTGAAACTGACTGTTCATGTAGTCATCAAAACGGAGACTCAGTCTACGAGTGTGATGATTCTGTGCATAACGCAAAGTTTATTTAGCCCCTGGAATCATCGTCCAATGCAAGTTCTGATTTCAGAGTTATCTGGACTACACGAAGCCGCCATCTTACATTGTTGTGGTATTTGTAGGGTAACCAGCAGTAGTTTGCGCATCGTCATTAAATAATTACCATCTCCCGTGTCTATTCAAAAAAAAACAAAAAAAACATTGGTTTAAATAATTACACTATTTAGTCAACAAATTAGTTTATTTTTTATAAAACACGTTTAAAAATAAAAGAACATTTATTTTCTTTGCCTTTATAGTAAAATAAATATATTAACAAAATTTTACTACAATTCTTATTGAAATGCATGGTTCTACCCCACAGGGAATGTCTAGCTATAGCCGACTCCATCAAGCAAGACGTCGACATAGTTCTCAACAACCGTAAAATGGAATGGATCGGTGGGTTCCCGAGCCTATACCTGGGCTCAGGTGCCACGACCATAGTCCAAGAGTACCTGGACGGTTCCAGTACATTGAATGTAGCAGACATGTGGAACTTTGCCTGCGACGAAGGGGCGTCGGCTGCCGTCCTTTTGCCCCCTGAAGTCATGGTCATCAAGCAGGTACATGAATAGTTTGGCATCTATTTTATAATAGTTTTAGCACAAGAAAAGCTTATCACAGCTTCTAACACACAAAACAAACCGATGGTTAAGCCGATTTTTTAAATCTTGAGAGACGTGTGTCCATGCTTTAAAGTGTAAGCAGTTTATTATTCTCTTACTCCAGGCATTCGATGAGGGCAAAATCACAAGACACATTAAAAGAATCATAAGTGGAGCACAACCCATAAGAAGGGTAGGAAATAAATAAATAAATAAATATATATATATATATATATATATATATATATATATATATATATATATATATATATATATATATATAAACATATGCAAGTATGTGTGTTTGTCTCTGTGTACGTCTATATTACGATCACATTTTAAAAAAATACGACAAGATACACCCAGACGAACACACTCTCAACAACACTCCGGCGTCCCAAACACCCCACAATCTTTCCCCCAAACACCCCACACTCCCCTCCCCCATACTCGCTCTCCCAAACACCCCACACTCCCCTCCCCCCATACTCGCTCTCCCAAACACCCCACACTCCCTCTCCCAAACACCCCACACTCCCCTCCCCCTATACTCGCTCCCACCAAAACCCCACACTCCCTCTCCCAAACACCCCACACTCCCCTCCCCCAACAACCCCACACTCCGCCACAACACCCCGGCGTCCCAAACACCCCACACTCCCTCTCCCAACAACCCCACACTCCCTCCCCCAACAACCCCAAACACCCCACACTCCCTCTCCCAACAACCCCACACTCCCTCCCCCAACAACCCCAAACACCCCACACTCCCTCTCCCAACAACCCCACACTCCCTCTCCCAACAACGCCACACTCCCTCCCCCAACAACCCCACACTCCCTCCCCCAACAACCCCACACTCCCTCCCCCAACAACCCCAAACACCCCACACTCCCTTCCCCAAACACCCCACACTCACTCCCCCAACAACCCGACGCTCCCCCACATCACCCCGGCGTCCAAAACACCCCACACTCCCTCCACAACACACTCTATCAACACCATAAACACTCCCAGCTCTCAGTGGTACATAACACAATGTTGATAGGCAAGTTATCACCTGTACACAAACACAGCTACTGTATGTGGTTAAATGTAGCCAGTATGTGAAAATGCGTAGGCCTTTATTCATAAGAACAGCCGCTGTTAACTTGTAATTTTTCAGTTGCGGAATGTAAAATTGTTTAATTTGTAACTAGATCTATAAATAGTTTGTTACAGTTTTTATATTTATTTATAGTAAGTCTTTATAAACTTTACATTTTTTCTTTATATTGATTTTTTTATTTAAATAATACAAACTAAAAAAAAAAACTAGTGTATATCATTTATTTTAACTTTATTTTTAAAGTCTGTCAATGATTTAACATCCTTAAAGCATAGTTGCAGATAATTCTTTCCCATTCGTGCCCAAGAAATATAGAGCAGATGAAGTAGAGTTCATCCGTGTCAATATCCTGGGCACTCGATGGGTAGTGTGAACAGCACTCTGCCCAGCCGCCTTTGTTTCCTTAACACGAGTCAGGTACTAATCTGAGAGGACTCATAGACGTGCTACAGACTTCGAGCCCGGGATCCGAACTCGAGACTTTCAGGTTAGAAGTCATAAGCTCTACCAGACGTCATTCACATATTATCTCGATAAAAATACAACGCTTTTCGAACTGTGTGATGTACGTTAAACATGGTATATTATCTTCTCATATTTATTGCAAAATATATTTCACGTAATTCAACCTCTGATAAATGATCTTGACATATAAAACAGTGTTTTTACTATTCCCTGGCAGTAACTAAGGGAGATAAAAACAAAATTTATTTTTAAAATGAGTGAAAGTAGCAAAGATATGTACAGATTGCAAAACAAAAAACATTTAAGAACAGTAAAGTTATTTAAATATTTAATACATATATTTATAAAATACTCTACAAAATTTTTCAATAAATTTAACTTTTGTTATTTAATTATCGTAAAAATTTAGAAACCCTAGTATTTTTATATCAATTTTATTTTATTAAGCGATTATTTTCATGCACGTATACTCGAAGGACAGCCGAAGTCATTCTTTTACTTCAGAGTTAGTCCGTCTGTGGACGAGATAAAATAAAAAAAAAAAAAGAGGAGATAAAGTACAAGCAAAATTAAATTAGAAGAGCGTGACTTTATTATCAGGGTTTGAGGGGAATGGGTTTATAACTACTGCTGAAATAACTTCGGGATTAAAGTAAAATTATGCTATAATATTATAATAGAGTAAAATGTTAGGTTAGGTCAGGTCAGGTCAAGTCAGGTCAGGTCAGGTCAGGTCAGGTCAGGTCAGGTCAGGTCAGGTCAGGTCAGGTCAGGTCAGGTCAGGTCAGGTCAGGGTAGGGTAGGGTAGGGTAGGGTAGGGTAGGGTAGGGTAGGGTAGGGTAGGATAGGGTAGGGTAGGGTAGGGTAGGGTAGGGTAGGGTAGGGTAGGGTAGGGTAGGGTAGGGTAGGTGTGATCAGGTCAGGTCATATATATATATATTAAATTAGAAGAGCGTGACTTTATTATCAGGGTTTGAGGGGAATGGGTTTATAACTACTGCTGAAATAACTTCGGGATTAAAGTAAAATTATGCTATAATATTATAATAGAGTAAAATGTTAGGTTAGGTTAGGTCAGGTCAAGTCAGGTCAGGTCAGGTCAGGTCAGGTCAGGTCAGGTCAGGTCAGGTCAGGTCAGGTCAGGTCAGGTCAGGGTAGGGTAGGGTAGGGTAGGGTAGGGTAGGGTAGGGTAGGGTAGGGTAGGGTAGGGTAGGGTAGGGTAGGATAGGGTAGGGTAGGGTAGGGTAGGGTAGGGTAGGGTAGGGTAGGGTAGGTGTGATCAGGTCAGGTCATATATATATATATATATATATATATATATATATATATATATATATATATATATATATATATATATACATATATATATATATATATATATATATATATATATATATATATATATATATATATATATATACGATTCTCTAGTGTCTGTTTGACCTTCTAAACGTCATCTGCGATGAATACATGGCGATGTACGGCTCTTCTGACATGGGATACTGTGTCATCGGCTTGATTACATCAGATATGAAGGTAACCAATACCTATTGGCGTCTAATGTTTGCAATATTTCTTGTTGCCTCTAAACATTAACAATGTTACTTGTTTCACAGGCTATATTTTAATTAAGCGCAATGTTTCTTTTCTATACGTTAGATTTTTTTGTACGGCAAATCTTCCATTCTGATCAGATGGTTCGTGGGTCAGATTCAAGATGATCTATTTCACAGATCTATACATTTAAATGTTATGTGGCATCAGCACCAGGGGTTCTTTCAGATCATATCTTCGATGGTGGGGCTGCAGGTAGGGGGGGGGGATGCGAAATTTTTTTTTCCCCCGGGGATGGGGTGATGCAAACACTGGTACAAGTATATACTTTCTATGTGCACTAGGTTTTAATTTTCTCTTTAATTCGGGTGGGGGTTGTTGGGGCGTTGCTCACGAAAAAAAAAAAGTCTCCACCCCCTCCCCCTAGGAGATATGCTTGAAAGAAAATCGAGTCAGCCCTTACCCTATTACCTTCTGTTTATTATTCTCGAATTACGTTTCCATCAGTGTTAGGTACAGAGTTTCTTCCAGGCATCTCTTCGGGGGGGGGGGGGGGGGGGGGGAGGGGGCTTAGCCCCCCGAAAAATTTTTACCGCCCCCCCCCCCCCCCCCGAACAAAATGAAATTTATATAATTTATATAGTTAATATATACTTTTAACAGTGTCCGCCCCCCCGAAGAAAGTCTACCGCCCCCCCCCCCGAAAATTTCAAGTGCCCCCCCCCCCCCGGAGAAAAGAGTCTGGAAGAAACACTGGTTAGGTAAACTCAATAACGCCATATTGATGAGACAATCGTACGTGGACTTACCTATTGTTTCCGTGCGAATTGTCGAGGAAAACCGAAATTTCTTGCTGTAGAATGTTTCATCCAATTGTAATCTTTGTTGTATCGTGATGTAGAATGTTTCATCCAATTGTAATCTTTGTTGTATCTTGCTGTAGAATGTTTCAGCCAATTGTAATCTTTGTTGCATCTTGATGTAGAATGTTTCATCCAATCGTAATCTTTGTTGTATCATCCAACAGCAGACGGTAAAAGATTGTTACACGGGAGATCGCCTAGCGGGTAACACCAAAATGAAGATTGTTGATGAGAAGACACATATGGAGGTTACATGCCCAAATCAACTGGGGAAATTGTTCTTTAAAGGTTGGAAATGTTAGGTTTTATTTCGTTGGAAATGTTTTGTTTTTTTCGTTAGGTCTTGATATGTTGGGTTTTGTTCGGAAAAGGCTGGAAATGTTGGGTTTTGTTTCGTTGGAAATGTTGTTGTTTTCTTTTTCGTAAGTCTTGATATGTTGGGTTTTGTTTGGAAAAGGCTGGAAATGTTGGGTTTTGTTTCGTGGCAACTTTTATTAGCAGTCATGTGCTTTTCAGGTGGGACAATACTGCGTCATTACCTGGATTTTGACTCAAGTTTGAGTGGAGTCTTCAAAGATGACGGCTGGTTTGATTCGACAGATGTGGGGTATATTGAGTAGGTCATACTATTGATGTGGGATATATTGAGTAGGTCATACCAATGATGTGTGATATATTGAGTAGGTCATACTATTGATGTGGGATATATTGAGTAGGTCATACCACTGATGTGTGATATATTGAGTAGGTCATACTATTGATGTAGGATATATTGAGTAGGTCATACCAAATACTGTTGTGGGATATATTGAGTAGGTCATACCAAAGTGGGATATATTGAGTAGGTCATACTAAAGTGGGATATATTGAGTAGGTCATACCACTGATGTGTGATATATTGAGTAGGTCATACTATTGATGTGGGATATATTGAGTAGGTCTTACCAAATACTCTTGTGGGATATATTGAGTAGGTCATACTAAATACTGATGTGAGATTTATTGAGTAGGTCATACCAAAGTGGGATATATTGAGTAGGTGATACTAAAGTGGGATATATTGAGTAGGTCATACCACTGATGTGTGATATATTGAGTAGGTCATACTAAAGTGGGATATATTGAGTAGGTCATACTAAATACTGACGTGAGACATATTGAGTAGGTCATAACAAATACTTTTGTTGGACATATTGCGTAGGTAATACTGATTTGGGACATATTGAGTAGGTTTTCTAAATACTGATGTGGGGTATATTGAGCAGGTCGTAACAAATACTATTGTAGGTTTTACTGAGTGGGTCATACTAATTACCCACCTAAAATATTATACTAAGTAAATTCGTGTAGTTTGTAGTTGTAGTAACACTGGTGTAATTAGAAAAAAAGTTTTTCATTCAGGTTAGCAGTCAAACGTTCTACCATTCAACCACGTCGTCCTCATACCTCTACACTAGTTTTTAGCATATTGTATTAAATGACTGTTTACAACTATGTGGGAAAAAAATGTATCTTTACAACAAACTTAAACCAATCATATACTATTTTTATTTGATAACTCCAGTGAGAAAGGAGGTGTCCACGTCATTGGCAGGACATCTGACGTCATCGTCTGCGGTCCTGTGATCGTTTACCCACAATGGCTGGAGGACAGGATTATAAAATGTCCTGGGGTGGCCGGAGTCATTGTTGTAGGTGAGTGAAAACATTTTAAGCTCAATAACTAGAACGATGTTGGTGAGGATTGAAACATTTTAAGCTCAATAACAAGAAGGTTGTAGATGAGTGAGGAAATATGTTAAGTTCAATAACAAGAAGGTTGTGAATAAATATTTTAAGCCCCATAACTAGAAAGTTTTAGGCGTGTGGTTTAATATATTTAAGCCCCATAACCAGAAAGTTTTAGGCGTGTGGTTTAATATATTTAAGCCCCATAACCAGAAAGTTGTAGGCGTGTGGTTTAATATATTTAAGCCCCATAACCAGAAAGTTTTAGGCTTGTGGTTTAATATATTTAAGCCCCATAACCAGAAAGTTTTAGGCGTGTGGTTTAATATATTTTAAGCTCCATAACCTTTAAGTTTTAAATATGTGTAGAAATATTAAAAGCTCTATAACAAAAAATGTTGTTTGTGAATGGAAATATATTCTAAGCTTTATAAAAAGAACTTTGTTGGTGAGTTACATTACAAATACCCCAAAACACTTCTCACAAGAAAGCTAAAAACAATGTATATTTCCAGGAATCCACCATCCCGTCAGGTTCCAGGAACTCTGTGTCTGTGTGGTCCGTGAGAAATCCTCAACCCTGACAGAAGAGGAACTGAGAACGTTCTGTAAAGAAATATTTATCGACAACCCAAACTGTGACGATGAAATTCCGAAAAAATTCTTCTTCATGGACTCGTTTCCTCTGACGTCTACTGGTAAGACATGGAGGAAAGAAGTAGAGAGACTTGCCACTGAACATTTTCATCGCTGAATGTTAGTTTCAGTTGGTTATTAAGGTTGCTTGATTAGTTATGAACTGCCGCGTTATTGTTAGAAAATCAAAGTACATGCATATTGACATCTAATGGGGAAATAGGGACTGAGATTGGCTACCGAACACCTCTTATCATGAACTGTTAGTTTCAGTTGGTTATTAAGGTTGCTTGATTAGTTATGAACTGCCGCGTTATTGTTAGAAAATCAAAGTACATGCATATTGACATCTAATGGGGAAATAGGGACTGAGATTGGCTACCGAACACCTCTTATCATGAACTGTTAGTTTCAGTTTGTCATTAAGGTTGCTTGATTAGTTATGAACTGCCGCGTTATTGTTAGAAATAAAAAGTTCACGTAAATGTTGACATTATTTGGGAAATAATGGACGAAGACATTGGCTACCAAACACTTCCTATCGTGAAACTGTTAGTTTCAGTTGGTTATTAAGGTTGCTTGATTAGTTATGAACTGCCACGCAATTGTTAGAAAATAAAAAGTAAGCTACATATTAATGTTGACAATAAATGGGAAAAAATGTAGACTACTGGTAGAGATTGGATACCAAACATTTGTAATCATGAATTATTAGTTTCAGTTAGTTATTGCTATTAAGGTTTCTTGATTAGTTTTAAACTGCCGTATTTAAAAAAAAAAATTGTTTGATTTTTAGAAAATGAAAAATGCGTAGTTTTAAACTCTCGACGTGACTACTTGACTTTATATAAGTGTGACGACACGTTTAAAACTTAATTTTAGCTTTACTTAGCGATTTTAAAATGCTATTTGTTTTGCTAATTGTAACAGATATTGATGAGTATATAGAAAGTAATCGATGTAATAAAAAAAAAAGAATTAATTTTAGGTAGGTTGTAGGGTGAGATGTGACGTGATTTTTTGTGTGTGGGGGGTTGGGTGGTGAGGGAGGTTATAAAAAACTTTCTATGCTGGTAGCAGGGGGATCTCTACCCTTCACTTGAGATGCCTCCCTGATTATTCCTCCTGTGTAAAACACAACAACACAGTTCCAAATTTTGAAAAAAAACTATTTACGATACACACAAATCAAGTGCCCCTAATCTTAACTCTAATATATTTTATTCAAATATATCTTGACTATAGCCCAACTACTATATAACTGTCCAACTGTGCCTTTTTACTACTTTATGATATACTCCTCAACTGCAACCTCTTAACTTATATAAGATCTGCTTCACGACTGACTCATAACGCTCGACTGACTCTTAACGCTCGACTGACTCCTAACACTATCTCTGCTCAACTGCCCGTGACTCGTGACTATCCATCTCACTTCCCATTGGTCGCACTATTCTATTGGCTCCTACTCCGACCTACTTCAACTACTTGACCAATAGCTTGCTATCTACTTAATTCTACATTTCTTCTCACCTTGACCTATTTCTAAATATATCTAAGTTTGCGTCATCGCGGATTGGGGTTGGCTTTATGCGAAAATGTGTGGCAATGGAGAGGAGGGGGAAGTAAATATCGTTCCCCAAAAACCGTGACATCATCTACGGATGAACCCTTTTGAACCCACGTTGAACTGACCTGACACAAATGACCTTTAACCACGTTGAACTGACCTCATCGTGACACCAACAACCTTAGCCCGAGGTCTCCACAGGAGCATCGACAATTTGATTAATCATTTCATTATCACCAAGTCGTCTAATGAGCGACCCATTTGAACCCCGTTAAAATTACCTGACAAAAATGACCTTTTAACGACCTTGAACCCCGTTGAATTGACCTCATCATGACACCAATAACCTTAGCCCGAGGTCTCTACAGGGGCGTCGACAATTTGATTTATCATTTCATTATCACTAAGTCGTCTAATGAGCACGCGCGGACCACGGCCGGTATTGTGCGCCTGTCAATAGAGATCGATACGGATCAAGAGAGATCAATACGGATCAATGGCAGATTTTATAAGTCCCGACGCCAAGCCGTAGAGTGCGGCGTTTGTTTCAGTGTATAAATCCTACATCAAAGACTCACCGATTTTATTTTTCTTCGATAATGTTAAAATCTTATCATTGTTTTTCTCTTATCAAGAACTTTTTTCACAATGTTTTATATATCTTTTGTATTCATTCTTAAGTTTAATAAAACTTTTTATTATTATTGTATTGTTTTGTTTTAAAGGACAGCAATGCTTAATTTTCTTTTATGTGAAGTCTGCAGATATTTAGCGCTATTATTGTATCGACAATAGTACATAATTCTACACCCCCTCTTTCTCTAGCACCCGACCCCCCCCCCCTCTCTCTCTCTCACACACACACAAAGAGAAAAAAAGGCTCCTAGAGATTTAAAAAAAAAATGTTTTAATCGTGCTTATTAAGTACAGACAAAATTAAGGAAGTCTTATTAACAAAATCTGTAAAAAAAAAAATAGAATAAAAATATATACATTCAATAAATTATAACATTTTAAAAAAAAAGTATTTACATTAGTAAAATGTAAACGCAAAGAAACCTATTTTCTTTTCATTGAAGAACGTTTTACTTTACATAATATCTAGGCGGCTTCCATAACTATTGTGTGTTTATACAGAGGCGTAGCCAGGAATAGGTCATGGGAGAGGTTCAAACATTTTTCCATATGTATAAAATCATATATATATATATATATATATATATATATATATATATATATATATATATATATATATATATATATATATATATATATATATATATATATACACATATATATATATATATATATATATAGGTTTGTGAGTCAATGGGAGAGATTATAACCCCCTAACTTCCCTTGCCTACGCCACTGTGTATATATCGGGGTGGGGGGAAGGGTTGGGGGCATTGAGGACGTTTTTTGAAGAGAGCAGGCCCCATGTATATACGAAATTGCTAACTGTTTCATCTATAAACTAATGAAATTTAAATTTAAAAATCTGCAATCAAAATCACGAACGATTAGTAAGTGGCGGAAGTTAAACTTCATCAAAGGAGAGAGTCAAATAAATAAAAAAGACTAATTAAGTTGTATGTGTTTTGTTATGATTAAGATGGCATAGTCTCACACTTGTGACAAGAGGGCAGGGGGTAAGGGTTGCAGTGGCGTAGCCAGGATCGTCTCAAGAGGGGGGGGGGGTCCAATTTTTACCCGGGGACAAACTTTTGATTTGCACCCCCCCCTCAAACTTTCGATTTGCACCCCGCTCATACTTATATATATATATATATATATATATATATATATATATATATATATATATATATATATATATATATATATATATATATATATATATGTACCGAGGGGTCTATGGGGGGGTTATGACTCCCCCTAACCCCCCCCCCTGCCTACGCCACTGAAGGGTTGGACAAGTAGCATGCAATTAGCTATTGAAAGTCAGTGGTGTGACACCATTACATGACGCATTGACATATATGTGACATAGTGTGATATAACACATTGACAGCGTGGGATGTGACATTGTGTTATATTGAGACGTATCGAAATGAAGTGCTCTGGCAAAATGAAAGAGCTTGTGACAAAAGTATAACGAGTGTTCGATATATTGTGACAAACGAAAGTTTTCAGTTACGAAAAAAATACTTCGGCCGGACGTAAATATATCAATTCGCTTTTTTTTTCTGGAAGTCACCTATTGAAAAATTTCTCCGAAACAAAACAAAAAATTGCAATTAAAAAAGTCAATACAATAATGTTTACAATCATTAATTTATCACAGAAACAGGATAAGGCATTGTATTTTGTAACAGTTACTTCCCCTTGTTGATATCCAAGGGAGATAATGAATTATTGATAAGCGTGTATTTAATGTGTTGTTTAAAATGTGTTTCTTCGGCCATTTCATGTATTGGAAAACGCATGTTAGTGTGTAAGAATCAAATTCATTTCGCTGAATATAGTTTTCGTATATTTCATTACGTTAGCGATATATACAATAATATATGCAGAAAAATATAACCTTTATGGCAAATTTAGTAAAAAAGGTTCTTGAGAAAATGTTAGCTTTTTGATTTAGTGCGTAGTGTTTGATTATTGATTTAACTTTAGTGCTTACAGTTAATGATACATAAACTGGTAGCAGATATGGCACATGCTCAGCTCAAAACAATTTAGTAACACCTTGAAAAAATCGATGGTGCGTACAGTATAAATAGATCATTAACTTGACATCAAAATAACAAGTTCAGCATAACAACAAAGTTAAATTGAACTTGGTATGAAAATAAGAATTCTAACCTACAAACAAAGTTCAAGTATGAAAGTATTTGTTCCGTATCAAGATGTAGAAAGTAAAAATGTAAAACCAACAACAACATACGGGTATGACATACTGCACTTCTGAAAAAACCCATACATTTCTGTTTTAACAATCTTCTCTGTTACAATGAAGCTAATACCTAAATAACAGACAATTCAAATCAACTCATGGCATTTATGTACAGTTTTTACAAAAGTTTTACAAAATGTTAATTTACATTGTTATACATACAGCGTAGTGTATCGCTGGGTTTTTTTTTTTTAGAAATTCAATTAGAATTTTTTTTTATGTAATTAAAGTTAATTTTTAATTTAGGCAGGTTAGGCTCCGAACAAAAAACTTCTTAATTAATAGGCATTTAAAAAATAATTTATGTTTATCTAATTCAGAATACTTAAGACATTTTTTGGCATGCATCAAGGTCTCTTTTTGTTAATATGTTTACCATGGCAACGGAGGCCATCTTGAAAAAACCCAACGTTGAAAAACGATCGTATATATTGATCATATAGTCATTGTTTCTTCTTTTATGAACTCCTTAATACTCAGCTGATTAGTGATTGTAAAAGAAAATACTTTAGAAATATTTTATTTCAAAATTTTAAAAAATTTGGTATGGTTAAATACCATAAAATTTACATGGTATAGCAATATATATTAACAAAGCCTGGCTAAAAAGAATCAGCCTATGTTGGGGGAATTCAGCGAACGTGAAGAATTAAAGATACAAGACAATGTGCTCAGAAGTGGAATGAAGACATCCGTGATGGGGTGAGGGGCAGGGAGAAACGAGGCAACCCGTTCCGGATGTAGCGACAGTCCTTCAGGTCTTCCCACTCGGCGTCCGAGATCGACCCCCGGGCTTTCGTCGGGGTCATGAACTCCCGGTACTTCAAAGGTCGCGGGGCTATGGTGTAGATGCGGGGGAGCAGGATAGGGGGCAGGCGCAGAGGGCGTCTCTTTTTGGGCTTGGTGACGTCATCCGATGCGGAAGGAATCCGGGTGATGCTGGTTGAAGATAGGGCGATGTTTGGCAAGGAGCCCCAGAGACTGGAATCTTCCAGAAAAGAGTTTTGGTGTACGGAGGAGGTGATGTCTGGAGTTTGTCTGCTTGATTTCGTGGGGTGACCCAGAGCAATGGAAGTTGTGACAGTATCGTTAGAGATAGGGTCAGTGTTAGATGGGTCGTCGAAGATGTTTTGATTTTCTTCTGCACTGTCGTCGAGTATCTGTGAATAAAAGGAATGAATTGACTTTTGGGTGGCGATAACACTTTCACTATCCGAAACAGAAACACTCACTTTTACTTAATCTTTATACTGATCCTTAATATGAACCCGTAAAAAAAAAATTTGCTAAAAATATGATGTTTTATATAGAGTCAGGGACTGCATGGCATAGCAGTAGAGCGCCAGGCTGCTAGCACGATAGTCTCGGTTCGAATACAGGTTCAAGTTAGTCAAACGTCTCTGAGTCCACTCAGCTCTGATAAGTATCTAACTCACGTTAGGATAAGTACAGGTGGCTAGGGATACTGCTGACTAGATTTTCCCTTCATTTACCGATGTCAAGAAACATATAAACTCTACTTCATCTACCAATTGGATCGTTAGGTGTAAAGAGGAATCTGTGCTTATCTATTGTGGGTGATGTGATTTTAAAAATTCACATTGAACCTCATAAGGCTCCTAATAGGGGTCGTCCATAAATGACATCACACTCGTAGAGGGAGGGGGGGGGGTCAGTAATTTTGTGATGGTGTGTGATGAGGGGGAGGGGGGGTCAGATAGTGTGATGTCACTATTTTGCATTATAAAAAGCAATGTTAGAAAACGAGTTTTAGCCGTTATTTCGCGTTTTAAAAAACGGTTTTTAATAAATTGTAATGGGAATTGAAGAAAATACTATGTTGAAAGAGTTCTGACAAGATTTTGGAAAAATATCGATGTTTTAAGAAAAATTCAACTGCAATTTTGAGGGGGGTTGTAGGTTTAGGTGCGACGTCATTTTAGGGGAGGGGTCTGGCTTTTTGTGACGACGTGTGACGGAGGGGGGGGGAGGTAAAAAAAAACCCGAATAAAATGAATTTGTATAGAAAATTTATACTTTTAACACTGTCCACCCCCCCCCCCCCCCCGAAGATTGCAGGTGCCCCCCACCGCCCCCGGGAAAGTCTGGAAGAAACACTGATTTAAACACAATATGAAGGAGCACGAACTCACCTGTCCGTATGTCCATCTTGACATCGCATCCTCCAACGTTACACTAGCCGCCACCTCCTGCCTCCCTTCCTTCAATCTCCTCCTCTCCAACTCCTGTCTCTCCCTCTCCCTCTTCCGGTTATCATGAACCTCCTCTATGGCCCGCAACCTCTGCAGGAAGACGGCCCTGCTCATCCCGACCAGGTTGTCAGCGGGTTGCACCCTCCGTGGACACGGGTCACTGGACGGGTTGAGGGTGACGCACTGCGGGGAGATTGTTCGTTGAGACATTGTGTTCTTACAAAATTAATTAGGTGACGTAATCAATACCGCTGCTGGAACTGGGTCTGCTTTAGATTAGCGTGGTGAAAAATCCAAAGGTAAACATTTTGATTCCTGTAACAAAAAAATAAGGTGATGGAAATCTCTAAAAGAATCAACAAAAGTGAATTTTATTAAAAATTGTGTTTTTCTTTTTCTTCTTCGTTCTTAATTCTAGTGTTGGAAGGGATTCCATTCAACACAATTAAGTATTTCGTGTCAACTTGTTACACGCCATATGGCCCGTTGACTCCGATTTCAGCCAAATCTTCTAAAAGGTATGTTTCCGTAACCTTTGGCCAACCAAGAACAAAATACAAGGCAGCAGTTGTTTGATTTTGGAGTTGCCTCTCCTAGATGAGTTGCTGTCCCCAACTATCGAGCCTCATCTGCCCGGGTTTCGAACTCAGAACATTTCGGTTCAGTCACCATGAGCTTTACCGATACTACCACCGTCGACTTCAAAAAGGGTGTTAAAAACTGTGTTATAAGGGTGTTAAAAAGGGTGTTAAAAAGGATAGTTCTGTTTCTTCCGGGGAGACAATATCATATAAAGGGCGATAATTAATTGACTTATCAAGGGATATAAAAAAAAAGAAGAAAGAACGAGATTTTTTGTTTGCTTGCTAATAAAATAAACAAATCAATATTGTTACGATTTAAAGAACGGGGTTGGGAGGGAGCGGCGGGGAGGAGTGGTAAATGATAACAAAACGAAAGAAAATGGGCAATTGAACCAAGCTTAAACCATGTGCAATACACACACACACACACACTTCATACTCAAATATACATACACGCCCACACATGCACGCGAACGCTCGCACACCCACACACCCACACTCACACATTTCAATAACAAATTACCAACGAAGAAGAAAATCAATGTCTTTAAGCCGGACCCATACCGAACTTGAAACCAGAACAAAGGGAGATCACTGTTCACTAAACATAACCCTTGTTGACGGAAGTTGGTTGTACCACAGCGAGCAGCATTACGCGACACTAACCCTTGGGTGTAATGAACGACAACTCCACAAAGTCATTGTTCTTTTATAGTAGTCTCCCCTGTGTTTCGTGACTAGTGTTTACGTTTTGCTTCTAATTGATGAGTGGTAGTAACAAAGAATCAAAAGAAATGAATATTTTATTGACGAATAGCACTCCTTTTTCTCTTGCTTGTTCTAGTGAAATCGATATAGATCGATGCTGATAACTTTCTTGAATTTTTATGTTGTACAGGATAGATGTATGCGAGTTCTTTGAAAGGTTTGTGTGGATGTGGGGGTTGTAGAGTGTGCGTGTGAGTGTTGGGATGTGGGTGTGTGAATTAGGGGTGTGGATGTGAGTGTGTGGGATGGTGGTGGAGGTGGGTATATGGTGGTCGAAGTAAAGATGTGTGGTGTATGGGTCTGGGTATTTGGTGGTAAGAATGTGGATGTTGGTATATGAATATGTGTGTGTGTGTGGGGGGGGGGGGGGGGTAAGTGTTTTGAGTGGGATGTGGATGTGGGTGTGTGGAGATGTGTGGAGATGTGTGTGGGGGGGGGTGAGCAATGAGGGTATTGTGTAGATATGGGTGGAATTAGGTGTAGAGCGGTAGATGTGTAAGTATGGTGTGTGGTGTGTGTGTTATAGATGTGGGTATGGGGAGTAAAGGTTTGGGTATGTGGGTGCATGTGTGTGGGAATGTCATTGCAGATGTGGACGTGAGAAGTGTGTCTTCCAGGCATCCCCGAAGTAAGTCTACCGACCCCCCCCCCCCCCCCCCCCCGAACGAAATGGAATCCATATAGAAAATATATACTTTTACCAGTGTCCGCCCCCCCCCCCCCCCTCGGAGAAAAAAGTCTGGAAGAAACACTGGACGCGAGGTGAGCGGTGGTAAGGCATGTAACAACTTGAAACGTGTACCAGATAGAACCGCATCACCAGTCCAATGATACATTAAAACCCTCAGAACTAGCTATAGTTGCTATAGCTATACACAAAGGGTTCCTTACAATTGGCCAGATCAAGCGTGGCTATTATGGGCGAATTATTTATTGAAAAACTCGGCATTGTTGGTCAGAAACAAATGCAGATCTCTAAAGATCATGTTGTGTGTAGGCACTGTATGCTGCTAGTGCAGGTTTCCATGAAGAAAACAAAACAAATATTAAATAACACGGTGTTACTTTTAGTTAAACAATCGTGCAACAGCCGTCGCTATAGTTAGAACTTAATGATAGTTATATATATATATATATATATATATATATATATATATATATATATATAAGCCTGTGAGTAGAGGGGGAGAGGGGAGGGGCATGATATAGTTCACACTGTCGTAATACCATGGTTGGTTGGGGTTTTTATTTCTCTGTGGGTTAGCAACATGGAGTGGAATGAAGGATGGGGGGGGGGGGGAGTTGTGAAGTGACATGCACAAAAATGACGAATAACGAGTTAATTTGTGAGAAAGCTACGGATTAAAGGGTTGTGAGTGGAGAGCATTCGCGACATTTTTTTTTAAAAATTTGTCAGTCATGTATTTTGTAATGAAATGTAGCGATACAGGAAGGGGGGGAAGGGGGACAATGAGCTTATTGAGATCAAATTACCGTGACATCATTTATGGCGAATGTTCTACCAAATATTTTTACAATCCATTCCATGCTTATGTTGTTTTGTTTTTTTCGCTTCTGACATGTAATTTACAGCGTCAGTTTGCCTTGCATTTTCGCTTTAGTATTACAGTTTTCATCATCGGTTTGTGAGGACTGATTACAGATTTACAATAGTAATATTTCTTTCTTACTTGTTGTAGCCTACTTTCATTCATTTAAGATGGTTTACTTATACATAGATCTGATACAAAACGTCTAATTACAATTTTATTTTTTTATAAACCTGAAAATGCAAATGTGTAATTAATGATGAATCAAGGGATTTTTTTTTCATCGGCGTGGCGGGGTGAGGGGGGGGGGGGCTTTTAAGTAGAGCTAAAATTAATTTGGGATTGCAGATAATTAAAATGATGCATATTCTAAGCAACTGAAAAAATCATGTTGATTAGACACACCAAATCAAACATTCTTCCCTTTCAAACATCTATTTCATGGTCGCTGATTTCTTGTGGAAAGACAAAAAATAATTACAAAGTGAAGTAATTGATTCCACCACTAATTAAGTTTAATGACCATATCTTAATTCAACTTTTCTTTTCTGTTCAGGCGGCTTTGTTTTATATTTTTTAATAAAGTGTTTATGTTAAAACCACAATTAAATAAATTAAATAAAAAAAACAAATTAAAAGATTAAATAAATAAATACCTGTACAATTCCAACAACCACCGAGCTACATCAACACACCAGCCACCACTGTGCAGTAATCCACTATAATGATCTCACCGAACGAAGTCGCCTCCCTTATCAGCAACACTTAGGCCGCTGAAACAATAATCTCGTTATTCAACTAGGCCTTGTAACTAGCGATTGTGGAGCTCTTTTTTTTTAAACTTTTTTTTTCTTTCTTCTCTCCCTTGAGCTGGTATCAACGCGTTCACTGAAAGTCGAGCCCACCTTTTGGAGTGTCGGGGTGAAGATCGGAGTGCCCCGCGTTGCGGGGGGTGTTTGGATTAAGTGTACAGTGGACGAGACGAGGGCTGGTTTTTAAATGCCTGGCACAAGTGTCAACAAGTCATGTGACTTGATGAGGTCATGTGACTTGGTGAAAACGGGGGGGGGGGGGGGGGGAGGGTTGGGAAGACAGTTAATCAGATATAGGGTGGGGTGGGGGAGGAAGGGGTGGTTGACAGGAACTCTATACAGTTGGGGTTAGAGAAAAAACAATTGCTGACTTTAATGAACGGGTGTTCTTTCGGGGCGGGTAATTAAAATTAATACCTAGGTTTTAACTAGGTTGAATAGGTACGGGAATACGTTATATAAAGAAAGATATATATATATATATATATATATATATATATATATAAATATATATATATATATATATATATATATATATATATATATATATATATATATATATATATATATATATATATATATATATATATATATATATATATACATATATATATCTACTTTTCATGAATTCAGAATTTGTGAATTCGACAGTACCAATGCTGCCACCGAAAATATTTGCTTTAAA